CGGGTGCCACGGGGAGACCCCGGGTGCCAGAGGGAGACCCCGGGTGTCACAGGGAGACCGGGTTGGGCAGCCCTGGGCGAAGGGGTGCTGCGTGCTGCGTTCTGTCCCCCGGCACCCGCCGGAGGGCCCTCGCTGAGCCCCTGGCCGGGGCGGGGCGCCCTGAGGGCTCTCGGGCTCTCGAGGACTTCCTTCCAGGACAGGAAGGATGGCGCTTCCTGTGCCCAGACTTGTCGGGCACTTGGCAAGTCTGGCTGCGCGGCAGGCGCCGCCCCTGAGCCTGAACTGCTTTCCTATTGGCTGAGCTCCTCCTCCCGGGACCCCCTGGGCACGAGGCAGGGGCACACCTGGTCCCGGTCTCCTTTCGGGTCACCGTGTTCCAAGGCGTCAGGACACGACCCCACTGATCTAACCTGCCCCGCCCGCCGTACAGATGAGGAAACTGAGGCTCCGAGAGGCCCTGGGACGTGTGTGTGCCCTCAGACTGGGCCTGCTTGTCTGCTGGGCACTGAGGACGCGGGCCCTGAGCAGCCCACCTGCGCCGGGAAGGCCTGGGAGGGAGGGACCCCGCTCCGGCCGGATGGAGCTGGAGTCCAGGTTGATACAAGGGGTGGTGGCAGAGTGCGGCCAGCGGGCCTGCGTCCAGCAGCTTCTCAGGCAGCAGGCCTGGGGGGGTCAGGGTGGGGCACCAGCGACCCCCCTCCCCCCCAGGCTGCACAGGGTTTGGGGCTGAGACCAGGGCCGTCCGGGATGCCCAGCGGCTGTGGCTCTGGTGACCCAGGGGAGGGCCGTTTTGGACAGAGTGAGGGCCTAGACCGGTGCCCTTGGGTACATGGGGACTAGGGGTCTGGGGTTAGAGGCGTATCAGGGGCTTTCCCAGGGGTGAGGGGTGGGGCGAGGGCTGGTCCCTGCCAGCCAGGCCTTCCTCGTTCTGGGAGGGTGTGGCCAGACTCTGCCAGGCTCCCTGGGGCACAGCCCTGAGCTTGTGGGTGGGGCCCTGGCTTGGGGGTACAGGCATCTTCATCCCAGGATTTCCGCTTGGGTGGGTGTGGCCCCGAAGGGCCTGCTGCTCCCAGCCCCGCCCCCAACCTGTCAGAACAGAGCCCGTGGCCCCTGGGGAAGCCGGGCTCTGCAGGGGCGGCCTCTGCTCCCGCCTCTCCCCTTGTTGGCGCGGGAACGCGCGTCAGTGTCTGTCTGCGCCCTCGGCAGGGTTCTGTGTCTCGCGTGCATGCTTGCACGCGTGGGCCTGCGTGCACACGTGTCTGAGTGTCTGCCGGGGCCCTGGGTGCCTGTGTGTGCGCGGGGCCGCCCAGTGCGGGACTCTGCAGGGAACGTTGGGGCTGCCGGCCGGGGGGACCCGCTGTGGTGGGGACGGCGGGCGGGGCGGGGGCGGAGCCGGCCGGCCCCTCAGTGCCTGGGATTTGGCCCTTACCTGTGGGGGCTGGAGGGGTGGGGAGTGGGGCGGGGTGGGTGGGGGTGGGGTGGAGGGAAAGCTGAGAACTTAAAAGGCGAGGGGCGGGGAGGCGGGGCGGAGCGGCTCCTGGTGGCGCCCAGCGGAGCTGGAGCCGGAGGCGCGGCTGGCTGCCGGGAGCGGGGAGCCGGGAGCGGGGAGCGGGGAGTCGGGCGGGAGTAGAGCGGGGAGCCCGGCTTCACCCTGCGCGGCGCCGCCATGGGGGTGTCTCTGGCCGCGCTCTGGTGCCTCGGGGTTCTGGGGGGCCTGGCGCGCGTGGCGGGCACACACTACCGCTACTTCTGGAGGGGCTGCTACCCGTGCCACCCGGGCCAGGCCGGCCCCCCCCTGGGCGCGGGGGACCGGAGACCAGGTGGGTGCCAGGGGTCTGCGCGGGCGGTGGGATGGGGCCAGGAGGTGGCGGGGGTGGGTGGTGGAGTGCTTTGTTGCTCTTTTTGGAGTTTGGGGTGCTGACAGCCCAGGGCAGGAGGCGGGCGGGGCAGCCTGTGCCCAGTCCTCGGACATTCCTGCCCTCCTGGGCCGGCTACTGACCGTGGGGTGGCCGCCCCGCCAGAGGGAGGACGTCCCCCGGCCTTTGCGAGGGGCCCCACCAGCAGCTTTGGGGTTCATCCAGACGCAGGCTCAGCAGAGAGGCCCCGGCAGGGAGCAGATCTCCCGTCCAGGGTCCTCGGAGCAGGGTCCCCGGGGTCCCCTGTGGAGGCGGCAGGTGCTGCCCCTTCCTGACCCCTTCCCCCCAATCCAGTGAGCTGCAGGGCCCGCTGAGAGGACAGCAGCCCAGGGGAAGTGGGGGCACCCTGCCCTCTCCCCGAAGCTCGGGTCTGGTCCCCACCAGCCAGCCTCCCTGCAGGGAGCTCCTGGGAGCTGGGCGCCAGGGGTGGGGTGGGCTCCTAGTGAGTCCTCACCTGCCCCCCCCCCCGGGCCAGTCCCTGCCTCCATGCCAGAGGGCACAGACCCCCCCCCCCCCCGTGCAAGCTCTCCTGGGGGGGCACGGGGGCAGGGAGGGCGGCGGCTCTGTCCCCACCAGGTCTGGACGAGGCCAGCGCTGTCACTCCGCCCCTCTGTCACGCTGTCACACCCAGGGTGGCCCCGGGAGCCTGCAGCCTGCAGTGTGGGGGGGCGGGCTGGGCCGGGGAGTTTGTGAGGGGAAGGTGTGTGCACTCTCGGGGGGAGGCCTGTGGTGAGTTGGGGGAGCAGGACTTGCTGGCTGCTGACGGGCTCTGTCCTGAGGCCCGGGCTCCGGCACCGGCTTGGTTTGTGGTCTCTGCCGGGGCCCCGGTTCGACCTTGGCCGTGGGCTCCTGGGCGGGAGCTGGTGATGGGCCCCCCACGAGAGCTTGCACGGGGTCTGGTAGAGACCCTACAGGCCCCCCACGGCCTCAGGATGGGCTCCCCGAGGCCCCGGCACTCCTTCCCCAGCTCTGCAGGCACACGGGGCCGAGGGCTCCCCGGGGACCAGCCTGCCGGAGTGATGTCACCGCTCCAGTGTGTGTGGCATGTCCGGGGCTGCCAGAGTCTGTCACGGCTGTCAGCGAGGGCGGCCAGGACCACGGCCGTTCCCGCAGCGCTGAGTCCGCCGGTGCCTACAACTGCCGCGGACTGGCCCGCCGCTGGCCAGAGGGCTTCCCCGGGCACGCTGAGGCTTCAGGGGGGGCCTGGCCGCGGGCCGGGGCTGGAGGGCGAGGCAGGTCCCCGGCTGCGGGCAGTGCCGCTTTGGGGCAGGCAGGGCCGGAGTGGGATTGGGCAAGAGGCCGACGGGGGTGCACCCGTTCCCTCCCTGCAGCGGGCGCAGGTGTGACCAGAGGGAGGCTGGCTCTCAGGGCGCAGGCCTGAGCCTGTCCATCCTCTTCTGCCCAGACTGCCTGTCACTATCCTAGCGGCCGTGGGGCTGCTGGGTCGGCCTGAGGGGCCCCTGTGCCCTGGACGCCGGTGCAGCTGCCCGTTGACGTGGCCCCAGGCAGGCTCGGCCCCGGCCAGGTGTGTGCGGGCCTCAGGGTGTCTGCTCTGGGACGGGTGCCCTGCCACCTGGGCCGGCCTCTCCTTGGCTGAGCGGCTGGAGGGAGCCCCGGGGGGCGGGGGGGGCATGAGGCTGCCAGCATCCCCACCACCTGCTTCCCCTGCACCGCCTCGGGGCACATCTGGGCACATCGGTGTCCTGTCTCGGCTCCACCTGCCTGCCACCCACGGACAGCACACAGGCACCCCTTCCCCCAAAGCTCTCCCACACCCGGTGCTGCCCGCCGCCCTGCCCCGCAGCCTGGGTCACCCCTCTGCCCGCTGCCTGGGGGACTTCCCCTCGGAGCCCTAGGCCTGAGACCTCCCACCGCACCCCCCTCCCTCTGCGCCCCAAGCCTCTTCGGGGCTCCCTGGGGGCCGCTCACTTCTGCCTCTGAGCTCCTTCCTGCGCGTCCCCCTGGCTTCGTCCGAGGACGCCCGGTCCCCTGGGTTCAGGCAGAGAGACTGGGCCGCACCTGCCCTCCCTCTGAGGCCTGGGAGGGGCCGGGTCTCCTCTGGCTGTGCCCGGAGCAGAGGGTCCTGAGCCCCGGCAGAGACCTGGGTTCTGCCTGTTGGTTCTGGAGCGCCAGGCGTGTTCTTAGCGTGTGGGCCGGTGGCAGGTCCATGTGTGGGAAGCATAGCTGGGGGTAGCTTGGGGACGGCAGGGGGATCCTTCCCCAGTGTCACCTCCTCCCCCGCCCCAGGTCTGCCCAGGTGGGGGGGTCAGGGGGGTGAGGGCCGCGTGGGGGGTGAGGGGCGGCGTGCCCTGGGTGGCGTGGAGGGCATGGGCACGGACTCAGTGGGTCATCGGGCAGAATTGGGGAACCTCACTCTGGGAGCGTGTTGTCTGCCCCCGAGGTTTCCCCGCAGCGAGGACTCGCCCCACTGATGGAGCCGCACGGCCCCTGGGCCTCCCCGGCGAGGCCGGCCGGCGGTCAGGGCTCGTGTCCCGGGCGGGGTGCCGGCTGGTGGGTGCTCGGCTGGCAGACGCTCAGGAGCGAGGAGCATCGACAGGTGTCCCCTGGACGGCGCCTCCTGGCAGCCCTCCCAGCCTGCTCCGGCTGAGGGGCAGTGCCCTGCTCCAGGCCCCTCTGGGTCCGGGCCGGCGGCCCTCCTGGCTCAGCCCACGCCTGGAGCGGGGCCGCCTGTGCCCCCTCCGCCCTCTGTCCGGCTGCCCGGAGGCCCGGGGCAGGAATGGGCTTGGGGGCGGCGAGAGGCGAGGGCTGCCGCGCCCCCACACCTCTGCATTCCCGCAGAAAGGGGGCCCAGTCCCGGGAGGGTCTCTCCACCTGCCGCTCCCTCTTCAGCCTCTGCCTTGGCCCAACCTCTGCTCCCCGTGTTCCCGCTGACCCTGCAGGTCGGGGTCCCGCGCCCCCGGCCAGGCGTGGGCGACCGGCCCCCCCTCCTCTCTGCCTGGCCAGGCCGGTGAGGGGCCTGGGCCTGGGCCTGGGGTGTCCTCAGTGAGGGGTGAGCGGCCCGGGCCAGCGCAGAGCGGGGCAGCCGGGCGGGTGCTGGCTGTTCACCCTCACCCTTGTGCCCAGATGTGGACGAGTGCCAGCTGCACAACGGCGGCTGCCACCACCGGTGCCTGAACACGCCGGGCTCCTACCTGTGCGAGTGCAAGCCCGGCTTCCGGCTGCACGTGGACGGCAGGACCTGCCTGGGTAAGCCCCCATGCCCGTGCCTCCCCCCGACCTGCCTGGGTAAGCCCCAGCGCCCCGCGCCCCGCGCCTCCCCCCGACTTGCCTGGGTAAACCCCCGCACCCGCGCCTCCCCCCACCTGCCTGGGTAAGCTCCAGCGCCCGCGCCTCCCCCCGACCTGCCTGGGTAAGCCCCCGCACCCGCGCCTCCCCCCGACCTGCCTGGGTAAGAACCCCAGGCCCCAAGCCCTCCCCCCGACCTGCCTGGGTAAGAACCCCAGGCCCCAAGCCCTCCCCCCATGCTGGGTGTGCCCAGGTCCACGCCAGGCCGGGTCCCGCTCCTGGGCTGAAAGGCAGACGGGGCCTGGCTCAGGGTCAGGGCCGTTATGGGGCCCCGTCCAGCGGCTTGGGGGGCCGAGGTTCAGGCAGGCGAGAAGAGAGGTCCCCAGGGCCGGCTCCCCTGTGGGCTGGGCCCCGTGACCCGGGGTCTCGGACTGGCCGTAGCCACGCCGGAGTGGGCTGGGATGCCCAGGTGGCTCCCTGGAGGGGCGTGTGCTCCCGTGACTTGGGAGGGGCCTGGGCTGCAGCCGAAGCCACCGTGGCTGTCAGCGGAGACCAAGGCTGGCCGTGCCGCCCCGGGAGGGAAGCCGGAACTGAGGTGGGGTGGGGGCAAGGAGGCCACCATGCTCTGCGGCTGGGCTTCCAGGGCCCAAGAGCCCGGGGTGCGCTGTCTCGGGCAGAAATTCTGCGCAGTGGGACCCTGACCCCGTTCCTCGGGGGGCTCTGGCCGTGGGGAACAGCCCTGTGGGGAATGGGCCTGGTGGAGGTGCCCGGCCCCAGACGGTGGCCCCTGCCAGTTCAGGGAGAAGGGGTGAAGGGAGGGAGCACTAGGGGTGAAGGGAGGGAGCACCAGGCATCCGCTGAGGTGGAGGGTGAGGTGCTGGAGGCCAGGAGGCTGGTGTTGAGCTGTCAGGGCCCTCCTCTGCTCTCCCCCTCCTCCTCCCCCTCCCGCTGGCTCTGGACACAGGTGCCGGGGGCACAGGGCTGGGCCCTCCCTGCCGGCTACTGTCTGTGAGGCCCCGAGGGGGCGCTCTCTGGGGCAGGGCGTGAGGTGCCCCCTTTCCACCCCGGAGGCCGTGAGGGCCAGGGGGCTCCGGGGCCCCTCCCTGCCCGCCTGGCTGCCGTGTGGTGGGCGGCCGGCCAGCCCCGGGGGGCCCCCCAGCGCACTCACATGTCCGGGCTGCCGCTGGGAGTGCGGCTGCTGCCCGTGAAGTCTGCCTGGGCGGAAAGTGGAACCAGATGCAGGAATGCTGTGGTGTGCGGCGCGCAGACACAGCCAGGGGCAGCCCCGCTCTGCCCGCGGCGGGCGGGCGGGCGGGCTCCGGAGCCACGCCACGCGCTCTGTCCGGCTGGGTCTCCCCGATGTCCACCCCACGCCCCGCAGGCAGGTTCTGTGGGGGCTGGGCCCAGTGGACACCCCCGGCCCCTCCCTGCGTGGCTCCCCCGTGAGGGGCCTGGTCTGGGACACACCTCCCGCCCCCTCGTCTCCCCGCCTGGCTAATGGGGCCTCCAGGAGACACGGGGGGGTGGACAGGCCAGCAGCCTGCACAGGGGAGGTGCCCTTTGGGGCTTCGGGGGCCCATTGTGGCCTCTGAGTGTGGACGGGGCAGCAGGGACCCGCTGGCAGGCGGGCAGTGTGGCGTGGGGCTGGTGGCCCTGGGACGTGGCTCCGGGGGCTGTGCACACGCCTGTCAGGGAATTGTGTCCTGGGTAGTGCTGGGGCCCCGTCCGCTGGGGGGACGGGCAGACACACAGGGCTGACAGGGAGGGACCCCGAGCTGCCGGGGGCGGGGCGGGGGCGGGCAGAGCCCAGGTGAGTCTCTCTGGCCCAGCTGCAGCCACCCTCCTGGTCCCGCCATCTGGGCCCTGCTCCCAGCAGGCGGATGGCCGCCGACCACACATGTGACCACACATGTGACCACACGTGGGATGAGGCCTGGGGTCCGGAAGCCCAGCCAGGCCCAGGGCAGTAATTACCGAACCCCAGGAAGCCAGTCCCGAGACAGCCAGCTGGTGGAGGCTGCCGCAGGGCGCAGCCACCGCTGGCAGGCTCTCCTCCAGCCGGCCCGCCTCATCCAGCTTCCCGCTGGCCAGCTCGGGCTGGTCTTGTGCCAGGCCTGGGGGCCAGGGCCTTGCCAGCGGAGCCACTCACAGCCCCCACCTACCCCTTCCTCCACGGCACTCTGGTGCACCTGCCCCTGGGCTCCAGCCTGAATCCGTGCCCAGATTCGGGGGCTGCCACCTGCACCCAACGCTGGGAGATCCGCTGGCAGAGGCAGAGTGGGCCCCACCTGGTAGGACACGTGTTTTCTAGATGCCCGGTTTTCTGCTCGGGTGAGGTCTGTTCCCTTGTGGATGGATCGCCAGGCCTCACACCAGAGGCTCCCGAATAGGGCGGCCCCTGCTGGCAGAGGGCGGGGTTGCAGCCCAGCTCTATTAGAACCTGCAGCCCCCTGGCTGAAGCCCCCGTCCTGTCCTGGGATGTGCACGCCGGGGGTGAGGGTGTATCAGTCAGCGCAGGCGGCCGTAACAAACACCACAGACTGTGGGGTCCAAACAGCAGACACTAACCTTCTCATCGCTCCGGAGGCTGGAAGTTCCAGGCCCGGGTCAGTCCTGGTAGAGAGCCTGCTTCCCGGCTGCCCCTCTGGCCGTGTCCTCAGATGGCAGAGAAGGGGACACACAGAGAGAGCTCATGTGTCTTCTTATAAGAACCCAAGTCCTATGGGGTCAGGGCCCTGCCCTTATGACCCCATTTCACCTCAGTTACCTCCATGAAAGGCCTACCTCCCAATACAGTCCCATTGGGGGGTGGGTTTTAGGGGGACATATGCATCCATCCTATTAGGGGTGATGGAGCCCCCTGGCCTTCCATCTTTGTTTTTTCTTTTCCATATATATATATATATATATATATATATATATATATATATATATTATATTCCATATATATATATTAGAGGGGAAGGGAGGGAGAGGGGAAGGGAGGAAGAGGGGGAGAGAGAGAGGGGAGAGAGATATGTGGACTAGTTGCATCCTGTATGTACCCTGACCAGGACTGAACCCGCAACCAGGGTGCGTGCCCGACCAGGAATCAAACTGGTGAGCTTTCAGTGCCTGGAACAGCTCTCAACCGACTGAGCCACACTGGCCGGGGCCCCTCCCCTCTTCTGATGAGCTCTCAGCTTTGCTTCAGGCCTGAGTGTGGTTTTTTTTTTTGTTTGTTTGTTTTTTAACATGTCTATTGATTTCAGAGAGAGAGAGGGAGAGACAGAAACATCCACGATGAGAGTGAACCATGTGACACGCCCATATCGGGATCAAGCCTGCAGCCCAGGCCTGTGCCCTGACCGGGAACCGAGCCGTGACCTCCTGGGTCACATGTTGGCGCTGGACTGCTGAGCCACGGCAGCAGCAGCTCTGGTTAGGGAAGGCAATGTGCCCGCTCAGCCCCCGGGCCTGGCTCAGGCTGTGCCAGTGGCGCTGGGCTCGGCTGCCTCCTGGCGCAGCCCTGGAGCGTTAAGAGCGGGTGCAGCGGGGGGGAACCTCCGTGGGCTCAGGGGGTGTGAGGGCACAGGGACCTGGACCCCCTCCACCTGTGCCCACCTCCTGCGATTCCTCCCCCGAGGGCCCTGGTGGGCTCAGTGCCGACCGCCTCTGGGCCCGTTTGGGGTGCTCTGCGGTCTGGAGGGCCTTCCCCAGCTCTGCCCTGGCCCCACCGGCTCCCAGCCCATCTGTGAGCCGCCTGCTGCCAGCGACGCGCCATGGTTCCCATTAGGCATCCTGGCGTTGGGCGGGCAGAGCCAGCGCGGGCAGCTCAGGCCACGCTCGGAAACCACTGGAGGGGGCGCCTGCGCGGTCCTGGGCGTCAGGGCAGGCCAGCTAGGATCAGGGGACAGAGCCGTTTTTGCCTCCCTCCCCCTACTCGCCCTCCTCTGCAGGGGGCTGGCTTGGCCCAAGGGACCCCCAGTGGCAGGTCTGAGAGCGGGTGTGGCTGGTGGGGGCGGGACCTTGCTGGCGGCCGGCAGGCGGCGTGGCTGGGGCCCCGCTGAGCGCCGAGGCCACTCACGCGCTCTGCTGCAGCCGCACGGCACCGCTCCCAGCCTCGGGGCTCTGCCCCCCGGTGCCAGGCCGTGCTCCTGGCTCCCAGACTCTCAGGGCGTCTCGGGCGAAGCCCTGGCCCCCACAGCCCCAGGTCTGCTCCGGCCCCGCCGCCGGGACACAGGCCCCGCATTCCTGTGGTTTTGCTCTGGAGTTCTGGGCCAACGCCTTCCCCGACCACAAGGCACTACCAGAGGCTCCGCGGAGCTGCCAGAGGCCTGTGCCGCCCTGGGCACCGGCCTCGCTCAGCACCTCCCCCGGCCCGGCCCGGCCCCCCAGTACCCAGCACCCCTCAGTCCCCTGGCCCCGCCCAGCCTCTCCCTGTAGGCGCCTCACGGAGGCCTGGACCAAGGCTGTCCCTGGACTGGGACTGGGGTCCCGGGTTCCGTGGCCTTCCCCAGTGCCGTGCCCACCGCCGCTGGAGGGGTGGGGGCTGTGTGAGCTCAGGTTTTGCGTGGGGCCTGGTCTGAGGTGGGCAGGAGGTGCCCTGGTCCGTCAGGAACCAGGGGCCAGGCCTGTGGGCCATGGCGGCTGCCCACGGCCACCCCACGCCTGCCCCTCTGCCCCGAGGACCAAGATGGTAGAATGTCGGGGCCTCCACCACCCCTTGCTGGCCTGCCACCTCCTCCAGGGAGCCTCCAGGCCTGCTCTGCCTCTGAACCCTGGACACCCTGCTGCCAGCGGGTGCTGGGGGCCCCTGGCTTCCCCTCAGAGGCCTGTCCTGCAACCGGTGGGGTCACAGCACCCCGGGGACAGCCTGCGCCCGCAGCCCTGCGTGGGGGCCGGAGCAGGGTGCCCGGGAGCCGGATAGGAGGCGGTGCCCGCTCAAAGCCCCCACCTCTGGGATGGAGGTGGGGAGAGGGGCTCAGAGTGGCCCTGAGGCCGCGCCCCCGCCTGCTCCCCGGGCCCCTCCGGCTCGCCGTCCGGCTGACCCGGCTCTCCGTCCCCAGCCATCCACTCCTGCGCCGTGGGCAACGGCGGCTGCCAGCACGACTGCGTGCAGCTCACGGCCACGCAGCACCGCTGCCGGTGCCGGCCCGACTTCCAGCTGCAGGAGGACGGCAAGCGCTGTGCCCGTGAGTGCCGCCCGGAGGGAGGGAGCGCGGCCGGGAGGGACGGCAGGGAGGGCGGCCCTGGCGGGACCCCGAACCCTGGGGTGCCGCTCCCACCGAGTCTCTCCCCTCTGCTCTGTCTGTTGGCCGCGGCCGCAGGCAGGAACCCGTGTGCGGACCGGAACGGCGGCTGCATGCACACGTGCCAGGCGCTCCGGGGCCTCGCCCACTGCGAGTGCCACGCCGGCTACCGGCTGGCAGCCGACCGCAAGGCCTGCGAAGGTGAGGCGCCCTCCCAGGGCCAGCCCCGCCGAGGGCCGCTGAGGAGGGTCCCCCGGGGCCTGCCCGGCTGCATCCGCTGCCCCGGCTGTGGGCGCAGGGCTGGCCTGGGGTGGCACTGGCAGAGCCGGCGGTGGGGGCGGGGGGGCTCCGGGAGGCAGAGGGTCCGCCGTGCCCCTGCCCGGGCAGCGGGTGATAAAAGTGGGTGCTCAGAGGGCCAGCCGGGCCTGGAGCCAGAGTTCAGGAGCGGGCATGGGGCCCTCCTGGCACAGGGGCCTGAGCCCTGCCCGTGGGGGTCCCCCACACCAAGGCGCCGCCCCTGCCTGTCTCCGGGGCCAGCACCAGAGCCCTCCCCGTCTCCTCCCACCCAGACGTGGACGAGTGTGCCACGGGGCTGGCCCAGTGCGCCCACGGCTGCCTCAACACGCGAGGGTCCTTTAAGTGCGTGTGCCACGCGGGCTACGAGCTGGGGGCGGACGCTCGGCAGTGCTACCGTGAGTGACGGGGCGTGGGGGGGTGTGGGCACCGGGTGGGAGGCGGCGGCAGCAGTAGCTTTGGCCAAGCTCCCCCGTCAGGGACAGTGCTGGGCGTGGGGGTGGGGTGGGTGGGAGGGGGTCCTAGGAGGGCGGGGGTGGGTATGGGCCCTGGAAGGACAGGGGTGTGGGGGGAGGGCGGGGGGGTCGGGAGGGCAGGCTGATCAGGAGGCGGCAGTGCAGGAGCCCAGCCTGCCCGCTGCCCGCTGCCCGCTGCCCGCCTCCCGCAGAGGCCCGGGGCGGCGGGTCGGGCTGACGGGGGGTCGCTCCGGCGCCGTCCCGCCCGGGGTCCGCAGGGATCGAGATGGAGATCGTGAACAGCTGCGAGGCCGGCAACGGCGGCTGCTCCCACGGCTGCAGCCACAGCAGCGCCGGCCCCCTGTGCACCTGCCCCCGCGGCTTCCAGCTGCACGAGGACGGCAAGACCTGCATCGGTGCGACCCCCTGCGAGGCCGCGCCCAGACCCTGACACCCGCCCCGACATCCGCCCCCCGCCCCCCCCCCCGTCACACCCACCGCTCCTCCGAGGCCGCGCCCAAACCCTGACACCCTGCCCCGACACCTGCCACCGTCCTCACCGCCCCCCCCCCGTCACACCCACCGCTCCTCCGAGGCCGCCCCCTGACACCCGCCCCGACACCCGCCCCGTCCTCACCGCCCCCTCCCAGTCCCCCCCGTCACACCCACCCCTCCTCCGAGGCCGCCCCCTGACACCCGCCCCGACACCCGCCCCGTCCTCACCGCCCCCTCCCAGTCCCCCCCGTCACACCCACCCCTCCTCCGAGGCCGCCCCCTGACACCCGCCCCGACACCCGCCCCGTCCTCACCGCCCCCCCCCCCCCCCCCCCCCGCTACACCCACCGCTCCACCCAGGCTGGGGGCGGGGGCCTTGTCCGGGGGCTCCTCCAGGCCCAGTGGACCTCGTCACTGCGGGTGCGGGTCCCCAGGCCCCAGCCCGGCCCACAGCGCGGGTGCCCCTGCGGCCATGACCGCTGCCCTGGGGGTGCACGCACGGATGGGGGGAGGGTGCCCACGGGGTGCCAGCGGGCTCGCGTGTGCCCGCAGACGTGGACGACTGTGCGGACGCGCCGTGCTGCCAGCAGGTCTGCACCAACAGCCCCGGCGGCTACGAGTGCAGCTGCGACGCCGGCTACCGGCTCGGCCCCGACGGCTGCGGCTGTGAGGGTGAGCGGGCGCCAGGGCCGGCGGGCGAGGGTGTGAGGGTGAGCGGGCGCCAGGGCGAGGGGGGCGAGGGCGGGCGGGCGCGAGTGCGTGAGGGTGAGCGGGCGAGAGGGCCGGCGGGCGTGAGGGCAAGGGGGGCGAAGGCGTGAGGGTGAGCGGGCGCCAGGGCGGGCGGGCGCCAGGGCAAGGGGGACGAGGGCGGGTGGGTGCCAGGGCGGGCAGGTGCCAGGGCGAGGGGGCTGAGGGCGGGCTGGCGCCAGGGCGGGCGGGCGCGAGGGCGTGAGGGTGAGCAGATGCGAGTGTGTGAGGGCGGGCGGGCGCCAGGGCGGGCGGGCACCAGGGCGCCAGGGCGGGCGGGCGCGAGGGCGTGAGGGTGAGTGGGCGCCAGGGCGGGCGGGCGCCAGGGCGAGGGGGCCGAGGGCGGGTGGGCGCCAGGGCGGGCGGGCGTGAGGGTGAGTGGGCGCCAGGGCGGGCGGGCGCCAGGGCGAGGGGGGCTGGGGCGGGCGGGCGCCAGGGCGGGCGGGCGCGAGGGCGTGAGGGTGAGCAGGTGTGAGAGTGAGCGGCGGGCATCCGCCATCTCTGAGCCTGGGAAGGGGGAGGGGGGATGGCTGTGCCTCGGGCTCGGGCCGGCGGCAGGGTGGGCGGGGCCTCGGAGGCCAGCGGCCGGTGCCATGTGCCCACAGACGTGGACGAGTGCGCCTCCGGCCGTGGCGGCTGCGAGCACCACTGCACCAACCTGGCCGGCTCCTTCCAGTGCTCCTGCGCGCCCGGCTTCCGGCTGGAGGAGGACCGCCGCGGCTGCGCCCGTGGGTCCCCGTGAGGCCGCGGGGGGGGGGCACAGAGCCAGCCTTCCTACGTCCGGGGAGGGCCGGGCCGGAGGGGGGTCAGGCCCTGGGCCCGGAGCTCCTGTGTCCCGAGGAGTAGGGTCAGGAGAGCAGCGGGGGGCGAGGGGGAGGGGGCAGTGCTCTGGGCCCTGGGCACCTCGGGCAGGGGCTGGCTCTGGTTCCGGGCGAGGGGTGGCCCCAGGATGGGGTGGCGGCTCAGGCCTCTGTGTCCACAGCCCTGGAGATGCCAGAGTGGGACCCGGCGGGCCGGCTGCCCTTCGCGCGGCCGCTGCCCCACGTGGTGCTGGGGGACGGGCTGCCCCCCCTCTTCCAGGAGGACGACGGGGGGGCCGAGGAGGCCGAGGAGGCGGAGGCCCGGGGCGCGCTGTCCCTGGAGGAGAAGTTTGGTGAGTGGGCGCCGGCTTCGGGCCGTCTCCGGGAGGCGGCAGGAACCCTGGTCACGGCCCTCAGACCGTGGCTCAGGTGCGGCCACCTGCGGGGCTGGCACAGCATGTCGGGGCTCTGAGCCTGGACCAGACGGGCCCCCAGTTCCCTGGGAGGCCCCCCTCAGGCCTGTGTCTTCTCCCCTTTCCCCCATCCCCTCTTCCCCCTTCCCTCTCCCCTCTCCCATCCCCCGCCCTTCCCTCTCCCCCTCCCCCTCCCACCTCGCCCCGGGGCTTCCATGTGCGGCCCTGGGCCCCTCCAGGCCCCGGGCCCCGGTGCCTGGTCTGAGCCCGCGCCCGCGCCCTCTGCCGCAGTCTGCCTGGACGGCGCCTTCGGCCCCGACTGCAGCCTGACCTGCGCGGACTGCGGGAACGGAGGGGCCTGCCTGCCGGGCCTGGACGGCTGCGACTGCCCCGCGGGCTGGACCGGGCTCGTCTGCAATGAGAGTGAGGCCACGCGGGGGGCCACGGCGCGGGGGGGCGGTGGGGGGCAGCAGAGGGGGGCGGGCCCGGGCTGGCAGCCCGTCCGGTGTGCTCCTTCCTGGGCAGGCTCCACGCGGCCGCCCCTCGCACTCATTAGCTCCCCGTCTGCTGACCACCCCGCGGTGGGCGGGGCCCCAGGACAAGGAAGCCTGGTGGGGGGTCCTGCCTTGTCCGTGGATGCGGCTTCCGAGGGACAGCACGTGGCCCCCGGCCAGGGGCCCCTGCCCGGCGTGGGGCGCCAGGACGCTCCTCCGGTTCTGCGCCGGCCGCAGTGTCCCGGGGGGCCCTGGGCCCGCGCCCCGCGGTGGCCTGACGGCGCCCGTCCCGCAGCCTGCCCCGCCGACACCTTCGGGAAGAACTGCAGCTCCGCCTGCGGCTGCCAGAACGGCGGGACCTGCCACCCCGCGACCGGGGCCTGCCGCTGCCCGCCCGGCGTCGGCGGCGCCCACTGCGAGGACGGTGCGTGCGCCCGCGTGCGCTGGGGGCGGGGGGGGGGGGCAGCGCCTCTCGGCCCCGCCGGCTCTCCCGCGCCTTCCTCCCGGGAGAGGGCATGGCACGGAGAGGCCGCGGCTGAGCGGCAGCTGGCTTCCCTGCGGCTAAACCCGGGCCGGGCCGCGGCGGCGGAGCCGGAGAGGAGCCTGGGAAGGTCCGGGGGCCATGCAGGCAGAGTGACGGCGGTGGGCCGGGCAGGCATCGCCCCCGCCCGGGGCCGCACGGGGGCCACTCCGGGGCGTTCGGGGGAGACGGAGCGTCCACGTGGGAAGGCCTCAGGCTGGATGCGTCCTCTTACCGCCTCCGGCAGAAGGCAGCGGATGGAGCGCGAACTTCCTCCTTAGCGCGGGGCTGGTGCCCGGGGGGCCGTGAGGGCTCCGCAGGGCCAGCAGCCGTGTCCCGGGCAGCGTGCAGGGCCTGGCCCCCGTGGCCTTCTCCGGCCTCGCCCCCCTGCCTCTCCCCCTGCCCCTCTGTCCCGTGCTGCTGTGGAGACCAGGATGAGGCCTAGTGTGGCCACCTGTGGGGGAGCAGCTCCTTACCTCTGGCCCCGGCGCCGTCCCAGCCACAGACCCAGGAGGGACAGGCCAGCCAGGGCGGCGGCCACACCGGGCTCCTCCTGGGCCGCCTCCCCTCTGGTGCCTCACTCAGCCCCGGGTCCTCCCTGCCTGGGGTGCAGGGTCCTCGGGTGTTGGGGCCCGCAGCCCCGGGCTGCGCCCCGGTGTGGGGCTGGGCCCTCGGGCGCCTCCTGGGACGTGGGGGCCCTGGAGGGGGCGCTCACGGCCGCCCTCCCCAGGCTGCCCGCGGGGCTTCTACGGCAAGCACTGCCGGAGGAAGTGCCACTGCCCCAGCCGCGGCCCCTGCCACCGGCTCTACGGGGCCTGCCTCTGCGACCCGGGGCTGTACGGCCGCTTCTGCCACCTGGGTGAGTCCTGGCCCGGCGCGGTCCGAGGGGGCCGCGGGGTGAGTCCCTGTCCCGCTGGCGAGAGTCCGGGGGGGGGGCTGTGGCGCCTTCCCACCCGCAGAGGAGGCCACGGGAGCTCAGGAGCCCCGCTGGGGTGTGAGGTCACCCAGGTCCCCGGGGTTAGGGTGTCATCGTCCGTGGGCCCCCAGCTCAGGCGGGGGTGCAGGGCTCCCTCAGCAGCTCCTGGGTGCAGCTCCTCTTGGCTCTGGGGTTTCCTGGGGCACAGATTCCGGGCCCCCGGGGGTTGCAGATCCTGGGTGGGAGGCGGGGGGATGGCGGCTCGGTCCCAGCAGCTCTGGGGAGCGCTCTGTGACGGGGCTGTTCAGGGGGGAGGACACAGGACCCCAGAGCTTCCCCTGGGAAGTGGGGTGACGCTGGCAAACCCCGAACTTCCCTGAGACCTGGTCACTGCGCTGGGGAGGAGCCTGCGGCTCTGGGCGGGTCCCGGGGACGCAGCCTGGCGGGGCTGGGACCGGGATGGGGGGCAGAGGCCCGTACGTCTGTGTGCAGCCTGCCCGCCGGGGGCCTTCGGGCCGGGCTGCTCGGAGCAGTGCCGGTGCGAGCAGCCGAACACGCGGGCCTGCGACCGGAGGGACGGCAGCTGCTCCTGCAAGCCGGGCTTCCGCGGAGAGCGGTGCCAGCTCGGTGCGTGCCCGGGCCCGGGCGGGTGCTCCTGGCGGCGGGTGTGGGGGGTGGGGTGCTCCTGGGGGCGGGTGTGGGGGGTGGGGTGCGCCTGGGGGTGGGGTGCTCCTGGTGGCGGGTGTTGGGGGTGGGGTGCTCCTGGGGGCGGGTGTGGGGGGTGGGGTGCTCCTGGGGGCGGGTGTGGGGGTGGGGTGCTTCTGGCGGCGGGTGTGGGGGGTGGGGTGCTCCTGGGGGTGGGGGTGGGGTGCTTGGAGGGTGGGGTGGGGGTGGGTGTGGGGTGCTTGGAGGGTGGGGGTGGGGTGCTTGGAGGGTGGGTGTGGGGTGCTTGGAGGGTGGGGGTGGGTTGCTCCTGGGGGCGGGTGTGGGGTGCTTGGAGGGTGGGGGTGGGGGTGGGGGTGGGGTGCTTGGAGGGTGGGGTGGGGGTGGGGGTAGGGTGCTTGGAGGGTGGGGGTGGGGTGCTTGGAGGGTGGGGTGGGGGTGGGGGTGGGTGTGGGGTGCTTGAGGGTGGGGTGGGGGTGGGGTGCTCCTGTGGCCGCCGGACCCCATAGCCCCCTCTCCTCCGCCCCTCAGCGTGCGAACCCGGCTTCTTCGGGTTGGGGTGCCAGCAGGCGTGCACCTGCCCCCCGGGCTCGGCCTGTGACCCCGTCAGTGGTGCGTGCGGGCGGCAGTGTCCGGCCGGCCTCCAGGGGGCGCGCTGTGACCAAGGTGAGCTGGCCCCTGGCACCGGGGTCTGGTGGGGCGGGTCGTTGGGCACACCTTGCCCGCACCAAGCGGCCACCCCCCCAGGGCGCCTGCGAAGGTGGAAACTGCTGGACAGGGGCCTGGGCCGTGGCTGGGACGGGCTGGGGCTGCCCAGGGCCCCGCCCAGAGAGGGTGATGCTGTGCCTGTCCACCCCTTCCTTCTTTCCCTCCCCCTGCCTCCCCTCCCCCCGGTAACTAAATGGGTCTGAGCTGAGGCTGGGGTGCAGGACTCCTCCCGGGTGGCCCAGCCAGGCAGCTGCTCCCGGGTGGGTCCCGGAGCCGAGCCTGGGCGGGCAGCGGGGGCGTGGTGTGGGCATGGGTGTGGGCATGGGCACGGGCAGGATGGACGCCCTCCTGTGGGCACTGAGGCCGAGGCCTGGGCCCTGTCAGTGGGCACAGGGCGGCGGGCGAGGCGGGAGGCCTGGACCTTTGCCGGCCGCCATAGGTGATGGTGGGGCCGCAGTGTGAGTGTCGGGGCTGCTGGGCCAATGGTGACCGGCACCGGCAGGGAGTGCCCTCCCTGGGCCCAGGGCACTCCATGTCCATGCCCAGTGCCGCGGACATGGAGGGCAGGATCTGGGGTCTGGGTGGTGTGGCCGTGCAGGGGCAGCCGGCCTGAGCCCCCCCGCCGGCCTGCCCCTCCGTCAGTCGCCCCCGCTTCCATCTCTCCGGGGAATGAGGAGGGGCGGGGGCCAGCGTCGCCGCTGCGCCCGGCCGGTCCCTCCCCTGGGGGGTCCCCGGATGCCGTGGTGTCCCGCCCAGGGCTCTGGGTCCCCTTGGTAGCAGGGCATGGGGGGCCCCAGGACCCCTTCCCAGCCCCACCCCGTCTCGGAAGCGCCACACAGCCGGCCACTCGTGTCCTGTGACTCCTCTCCACCCACCCCACGCACGCACGGGCACACAAATATGCACACGCACATGCAGCTCGCACCCCGCGGCCATGCCTCCACTCCAGCCCCGCCCGCTCCGGCGCTGTCTGCGGGCCCGGGGGCCCCCACCCCAGCCCTCCCCGCGGGGTCTTCCTCTCCCTCCCGCCTTCGTGCCCCGGGATGAGCCGCAGGAAATGGCTCTCATACTTCAGACACCACGGCCTCCCTCCCGCGCGGCTCGTCTGGAAAGTATCCGGAGCCAAACGCGCGTCTGCCCCCAATTAGCGGGGGAGGTCCCGGGCTGTGGGGCCACGTCACTGCTCCGTGGGCCGCCCCCACGGGTACCTGTGTGTGTGTGTGCATGCATGTGCAGGCTCACTAACCGTGCCTGTGCCCGCGGTGGGATGTGCGGGGCCCCAGAGGCTGGTCTTTGTGACAAGGCTCCCTGGGGGGTGTCCTCTGTCCCAGAGCCCCATCAGGTCCTGGAAGGCCCCAGGCCTGGGCGCCCCCCGCCCCCCCCCCGTGTCCCAGCTCAGCTCGCCTGCTGTCCCCCCACGTGGGCCTTGTGCTCAGTGGTCTGGTTCTTGGGGTGTGGGGTGCACAGGGCTCTGCAGAGTCCTCACGGGATGATCAAGGCGCCCACACTCTTTCCTGAGGCCTGTGCCCAGCCCCCCCTCCTCCCCGGGTGGGGTCCGGGGTCCCAGGGGCTGGAGGGAGGGCAGAGCCAGCCTGCCCCCTGCTCCCGGACCCTCTGCCTACCCCCTGGCAGCCCCGCCCCCCGGCCCTGCAGTGGGCCCTCTGGCGGCACCCCCCCCCCCCCCCCCGCTCCAGGTCCCTGGCCCCTGCCCTCCTGCGACCACCCGGGGACCCCGCGGGCCAGGGGCGGGACTAAGGGTGGCTGAGGGGAGACGGCGGGTCGCGTGGGGGTGCTGAGGCCTTTCCCCCCGCAGACTGCCCGGCGGGGACGTTCGGTGTGAACTGCTCAGGGTCCTGCGCCTGCGGGGGGGCCCCCTGTGACCGGGCCTCGGGGCAGTGCCTGTGCCCCCCCGGGCGGACGGGGGACGACTGTGGGGCAGGTGAGTGGCAGGCTGGCTGTGGTCCCCTGGCTCCCTGGGCTGGGCCACTCGGGGGCCCCGTCCCAGGCCGTGTTCGCGGACCCCAGCCCTGAGCTGAGTCCGGGAGCCCTGACCCCAGGCCCGACCAGAGGCTGTGGGGGCCGCGCTGGGCCAGCCTGTATCCGGGGGCCGGGTCCGAGCTTCCCTGAAGGCTGTGCCAGCAGAGGGGCTCCCGAGGGGCTGTGTTCCTGCCTGGGGGTCTCCTGGTCTGGACGCCTGCCTCCTGCTGAGCCCACCTGGGGCTTAGGGGGCGCCCTTGGTGACGGCACCGCAGTCTGCACCCTGCAGCCCAGGAGGGCCGGGAGTCCCGTCCTGTGCCCGTTTGGGGGGTGGTGCTGAGCCGGGAGACTGAGGTGCCATGGGGGTGCGGGGGCTAGACTGTCCCGAGGGCCGCTGGGGGCTCGGCTGCCAGGAGATCTGCCCGGCCTGTGAGCACGGTGCCGCCTGCGACCCCAAGACTGGAGCCTGCCGCTGCCCACCCGGCTACACCGGCAGCCGCTGCCAGGACGGTGAGCGCCCGCAGCCCCGAGACCCGCAGCCCCCACCGCTCACCCTCCCCCCCCCTCCGCCCTCAGCCCCCACCGCTCACCCCCCCTCCGCCCTCAGCCCCCAGGCCCTCAGCCCCCACCGCTCACCATCCTCTCCCCCCCTCCCCCCCTCCGCCCTCAGCCCCCACCGCTCACCCTCCCCCCCTCCGCCCTCAGCGTGCCCCGCAGGCTGGTTCGGGTCCGGCTGCCGCATGAGGTGCTCGTGTGCCAACGACGGGACCTGCCACCCGGCGACGGGCCACTGCAGCTGTGCCCCGGGGTGGACCGGCCTCCGCTGCCAGAGAGGTAGGCGGCCCTCCCCTGGGGCTCCCCAGGCCCAGCACCTCCCTCCCGTGCCCGCGGGCTCCGCTGGCCTGCGATGACCGGGCGCCGTTGCAGCCTGTGACAGCGGCCACTGGGGCCCCGACTGCAGCCACACGTGCAACTGCAGTGCCGGCCGCGGGAGCTGCGACGCCGTCAGCGGCCGGTGTGTGTGCGAGGCCGGCTTCCGGGGCCCGCGGTGCGAGCAGGGTGAGTGCTGCCCCCATGGGCACCCTCCCCCACACATCACACACCCATGCCCGGCCCCCCCCCACACCCCACGCATGTACACACACCCGCACACATGCATAAGCACGCACCAGCATGCAGTCACACATGCACACGCATGAATGCATGCGCGCCGTGTACCAGATGCACATGTGTTGGTGAGCCTGGCCCTGCCCGCTTGCCCCCAGACAAGCAGGGGTCTGCTCCCCTGGCTCACCAGCTCCCCTCCAGCCACAGCAGGCTAACCGGGCAGCGCCGGGAGCTGTCAGTGAGGGGCACCGGGAGGGGGGGTGGCTGAGACCACGGGTTCTGCCTCGGCGTCTGCCCTGGGCTGCGGTGGCTGAGCTGGGCCTGGGGCAGGTGCTCCCACTAGCACCCCACAGGCCACCCTGGGGCTCAGGCCCCGTCTGGGCAGGAGGGGAAGGGGCAGGGCGGGGGGGGGGGTGAGTGGTGCCCGGGGCAGGGAGGGGCTTCTCCGTCCACCAGCCCTAAGCCCATAGTCCCGGCCCGGGGATGGCGGAGGCCAGGCAGGACGGGGCGCGCTGTCCCCCCGCTGATGGCGGGGCCCTCTCTCAGGGTGTCCCCCAGGCCGTGGGGGGGGATAGGAGAGGGGATGGCGGAGGCCAGGCAGGACGGGGCGCGCTGTCCCCCCGCTGATGGCGGGGCCCTCTCTCAGGGTGTCCCCCGGGCCACTTCGGGCCGGGCTGCGGGCGGCGCTGCCGGTGTGAGCACGGGGGCGCCTGTGACCACGTCAGCGGGGCCTGCACCTGCCCCGCGGGCTGGCGGGGGACCTTCTGTGAGCGAGGTGAGCGGGGCGGGGCGGGCCAGGGCGGGGCAGGTGGCAGGGCGTGTGGACGGCCCGCTGACCTGGCCGCCTGCCCCCGCCCCGCAGCCTGCCCCGCTGGCTTCTCCGGCCTGGACTGCCGCCTCGCCTGTGACTGCGCGGCCGGGGCGCCGTGCGACGCCGTGAGCGGCGCCTGCCTCTGCCCCGCCGGCCGCCAGGGCCCCCGCTGTGCCCAGAGTGCGTGAGGGTGCTGCCCGGGGCGGGGTGCTGCCGGGGGAGGGGTGCTGCCCGGGGGCGGGGTGCTGCCGGGGGCGGGGTGCTGCCGGGGGCGGGGTGCTGCCGGGGGCAGGGTGCTGCCGGGGGAGGGGTGCTGCCGGGGGAGGGGTGCTGCCCGGGGCAGGGTGCTGCCGGGGGAGGGGTGCTGCCGGGGGCGGGGTGCTGCCCCGGGCGGGGTGCTGCCCCGGGCGGGGTGCTGCCGGGGGCTGGGTGCTGCCCAGGGCGGGGAGCTGCCGGGGGCGGGGAGCTGCCGGGGGAGGGGTGCTGCTGGGGGCAGGTGCTGCGGGGGGGGGGTGCTTCCGGGGGAGGGGTGCTGCCGGGGGAGGGGTGCTGCCGGGGGCAGGGTGCTGCCGGGGGAGGGGTGCTGCCGGGGGCGGGGTGCTGCCGGGGGAGGGGTGCTGCCCGGGGCGGGGTGCTGCCCGGGGAGGGGCGGGGTGCTGCCGGGGCGGGGGGTGCTGCCGGGGGCGGGGTGTTGCCGGGGGGTGGGGGGGAGGGGCGGGGTGCTGCCGGGGAAGGGGTGTTGCCAGGGGCGGGGTGCTGCCGGGGCGGGGGGTGCTGCCGGGGGGTGGGGGGGAGGGGCGGGGTGCTGCCGGGGAAGGGGTGCTGCGGGGGGGGGGGGCGGGCGGGGTGCTGCCGGGGGAGGGGTGCTGTGGGGGGGTGGGGGGGGCGGGCGGGGTGCTGCCGGGGAAGGGGTGCTGTGGGGGGGTGGGGGGGGCGGGCGGGGTGCTGCCGGGGGCGGGGTCCTGCCGGGCGGGCCGGGGCGGTCTCTGCCAGACTGGCTCCCAGGCCTGGCTGCCTGTCCGGAGTGCCCAGTGTCCCAGCACGTGGGCCCCTGTTTGTGGGCCCCGAAGGGATGCCCAGGCCAGAGGGGGCATGGGGGCCGGGGCGCAGCTGCTCCTCCCAGGTCTGTCTCCCCGGCTGACCGCCCTCTCCCGCAGCCTGCCCGGCCCTCACCTACGGGCACAACTGCAGCCAGGCCTGCGCCTGCTTCAACGGGGCCTCCTGCGACCCGGTGCACGGGCAGTGCCGCTGTGGCCCGGGCTGGACGGGGCCCAGCTGCCTGCAGGGTGAGCCGGGTCTGGGTGGTGCCCCTGCTTCTGGGTGCCAGGCTCACCCAAGGGGCGGCTGGGGAGCTGGGCCCTGGCACTGGGGGAACGAGGGAAGGAAGGGGCCGCTCAGAACCTGGGGCCACGCCCTGCAGCCTGAGCCCCCACAGCTGGTTGGGGGGTGCTGCAGCCCCTGGGGGGGCGGGGCCAGGTTGTCCTAGCAACAGCGTTGGACGAAGCCCTGCCCCTGGTCTGTGCGGGCTCCGGCTGGGCCTCCTGGGGGGGCGCCCTGAGGCCTGGCTGGTGCTGCATGCGCCGCCTCTCCCCAGCCTGCCCCTCGGGCCTGTTCGGCGAGGACTGCCAGCACGCCTGCCTCTGCCGGAACGGCGGCACCTGCGACCCCGTCTCCGGCAACTGCACCTGCGCCGAGGGCTGGGCCGGCCCCGCCTGCGAGCAGGGTGAGCCCGGGGCAGGAGGGCACCCTAAGGGCCCCTGTGCCGCCCTACCCTCTGCGGCCAGAGCTCCCTGCCTGGGGCGGGGGTGGGGCAGCGTCTGGCGTGAGGCCTGGGCTGCCTGTGACCGGCTCGCGCCTCTCCGTTCTGGGGCCGGGATCTGAGGCTCCGGGAGCAGAGGCGTGCAGGGGCGGGGGGGGGGGAGTGTGGGGGCAGGGGGGGCGGAGCAGGGGGGTCTGCCCAGGAGGCGCCCTCACCTGTGCCCGCCCGCAGAGTGCGGGCCCGGGCGCTTCGGAGCCGGGTGCCAGCGCAGCTGCGGGTGCCTCCACGGCGGCCTCTGCGACCCGCACACCGGCCGCTGCCTCTGCCCCGCGGGCTGGACGGGGGATGCGTGTCAGAGCCGTGAGTGGGGCAGGCTGGGCCGGGCTGGACGGGGACGCGTGTCGGAGCCATGAGTGGGCCGGGCTGGACGGGGACGCGTGTCGGAGCCATGAGTGGGCCGGGCTGGACAGGGACGTGTGTCAGAGCCGTGAGTGGGGCAGGCTGGGCCGGGCTGGACGGGGACGCGTGTCGGAGCCATGAGTGGGGCAGGCTGGGCCGGGCTGGACGGGGACGCGTGTCGGAGCCATGAGTGGGCCGGGCTGGACGGGGACGTGTGTCAGAGCCGTGAGTGAGCTGGACAAGGACGTGTGTCAGAGCCGTGAGTGGGCCGGGCTGGACGGGGGACGTGTGTCAGAGCCGTGAGTGGGCCAGGCTGGGGCGGGCTGGACGGGGACGCGTGTCAGAGCCGTGAGTGGGCCGGGCTGGACGGGGACGCGTGTCAGAGCCGTGAGTGGGCTGGGCCGGGCTGGACGGGGACGCGTGTCAGAGCCGTGAGTGGGCCGGGCTGGACGGGGACGCGTGTCAGAGCCGTGAGTGGGCTGGGCCGGGCTGGATGGGGACGCGTGTCGGAGCTGTGAGTGGGCTGGGCCGGGCTGGACGGGGATGCGTGTCAGAGCCGTGAGTGGGCCGGGCTGGATGGGGGACGCGTGTCAGAGCCGTGAGTGGGCCGGGCTGGATGGGGGACGCGTGTCAGAGCCGTGAGTGGGCCGGGCTGGATGGGGGACGCGTGTCAGAGCCGTGAGTGGGCCGGGCTGGATGGGGGACGCGTGTCAGAGCCGTGAGTGGGCCGGGTCGGGGCGGGCTGGACGGGGGACGCGTGTCAGAGCCGTGAGTGGGCCGGGCTGGACGGGGACGCGTGTCGGAGCCGTGAGTGGGCCGGGCTGGACGGGGACGCGTGTCGGAGCCGTGAGTGGGCCGGGCTGGGGCGGGCGCAGCGGGCGGGCAGCGTCCTGCAGGGCGGTGTGTCCGAGCCGCCGTGCCCGGCCCAGCCCTGCCTGTCCCTGCAGCCTGTGCCCAGGGCACCTTCGGGGCTGGCTGCGAGGAGCCCTGTGCCTGCCGGCGGGGCACCGCCTGCCACCACGTCACCGGGGCCTGCCTCTGCCCCCCGGGATGGCGGGGCTCCCGCTGCGACAGTGGTGAGCCGGCCCAGCCAGCACCGGGGGCGGGGGGGGGGGGGGCGGTCACCCGGGAGCCCTCCGGGCCGGTGCCGGCCCCGGCTCCCCACCCAGCCGAGCCGTGCCCCCCGCAGCCTGCCCGCCCGGGTGGTTCGGAGAGGCCTGTGCCCTGCGCTGCCAGTGCCCGCCGGACGCCGCCTGCCACCACGTCACCGGGGAGTGCCGCTGCCCCCCGGGCACCACCGGGCCGGGCTGTGAGCAGAGTAGGTGACGGGGTGGGCGGGCCTGGGGGGGGAGGGCTCGGTCCCTCCTGAGGCTTGGGCCGCCGTTCCCCGGAGCCAGGCCCCAAAACCTCCTGCCAAGAGGGGCCTCGGGGTGATGGGTGTCTGCTCCCCAGCCTGCCCGCCCGGCACCTTCGGGGAGAACTGCAGGCACAGGTGCCAGTGTCCCGGCGAGAACCAGACCTGCCACCCGGCCTCCGGGGCCTGCGTGTGTGCCCCGGGCCAGCACGGGCCCGACTGCGGGCAGAGTGAGTGCTGGGCCTGCGTCGGTGGCGGCTGGCAGGGGGGGGCAGGGATGCGGGGAGACCCAGCCCCTCACCCACCCCCGCAGGGTGCCCCCACGGGCGCTTCGGGTCCGGCTGTGAGCACCTGTGTGGATGCCTCAATGGCGGCTCCTGCGACGCGGCCACAGGCACCTGCCACTGCCCCCCGGGGGTCCTGGGCCCCAACTGCAGCCTCCGTGAGTGGTGGGGGGTGGCCGGGGGGGCGGGGGGCTCCTCCTGAGCTTCGGTGGGTGGGGCCCCCTTCCCCTCCCCCCCAGTCTGCATGGAGGGCAGCGTCCCGCCCACCTGCCTCCCTGGCCTCCCCTCCCCCTAGGCTGGGGGGCTGGGGCGTCCCTGCAGGCTGTGCGCTGTGCCCCCGCCCCCCCCGCCCCCATCATGCCACCAGGGTGGTGCTCCGCCGTGCAGAGGCCAGCGGGCATCCTGCCGAGAACAGGGCGTTCCCTCAGTCACGCGGGACTTTCCGCCCGTCTGCAGTGCCGTCTGGGGTGCCATCTGGGTGCCGTCTGGGGTGCCTGCCGATGGGGGGGCAGTGAGTCACTGTGGCCGCGGAGCAGGCGGGGCTCGGGGCTGGGAGGTGCCCGGGCCGGAGGGGGCAGGGAGGGGGAGCAGGCAGTCTGCGCTGTCTGGGCGGCTGGTGGGTGGAGACTCCGCCCTGGCCCCGCCCCCGCCCCTGTCCCCACACGGTGGAGCGAGGGGTCAGCCGGGACGTCCCCTTCCCTCCGCAGCCTGTCCCCCAGGCCGGTTTGGCGCCGGCTGCTCCCACGTCTGCAGGTGTGGGCCGGGGGCGACCTGCGACCCTGCGACGGGCACCTGCCTCTGCCCCCCGGGGAGGACCGGCGCCCGCTGTGAGCTCGGTGCGTGCCCTCCTGTGCCCAAAGGCTCCCGGGGCAGAGCTGGGGTCCCTGTCAGGTTCACACCGTGGCCTCTGCAGAACCCGCCTCCCGCCCAGCACCACCCCAGCCTTCCCTCCCACGGCCCGGCCCAGCCACCGGGCTGCCGTCCACGTGCTGTGTCCAGTGGGGCCGAGCAGGGTGTCCAGTCCCGTGGCAGGAGGGCCCGGTGGCTGTTGAGGCTGAGGAGGGAGCAGCCCCCTGCCGACGTGCCCTGGGCGGAGGGTCATCATGCTGCCAGTGGGGTCCCCTGGGAGTGGGGTCCCCTGGGTGTGGGGTCCTCTGGGAGTGGGGTCCCCTGGGAGTGGGGTCCCCTGGGTGTGGGGTCCTCTGGGAGTGGGGTCCCCTGGGTGTGGGGTCCTCTGGGTGTGGGGTCCCCGCAGGCCCAGGGCTGGGCCCTGGGAGTGGGGGGCCTGGAGCACAGGCCTTGGTGGAGAAATGGGGTGGCCCTGGGGCTCACGCCCTCGATGGCATGCAGGTCCCAGGGCCATACCCACAGCGCCGGGCAGGCCTGAGCCCCTGCCGCCCTCTGGTCCTCAGAGGGCTGGCGCCCCCCGGCTTGGCAGAGGGTCCCCAGCCCCAGACCTGGCTGCAGCCAGGCCTCGTCCTCACCCCCCAGAAGCAGGGCAGCTGAGCCAATCAGATGGGGAGCAGAGTGCCACCGCCTCCAGGAAGGCTCCCTGGCCCTCTGTCCCTTCCCCTGAGGGACCTCAGCTCTGGGTCGGGATGGACGAAGGGGCAGGACAGGATTGGGGTCCCTCCCCCACATATGTGCCTGTGCAGGCCGGGCTGAGGGGCCCTGGGAGAAGGTGGAATGGATTGTGGCTGGTGGGGACGGTCCTCAGCGCGTCCGGCCTGGGCCGCAGCACCAACGGGGTGTGTGTGTGTGTGTGTGTGTGTGTGTGTGTGTGTGTCGTCTCTAGAGTGTCCCCAGCACCGGTTTGGCGCGAGCTGTGAGCACCAGTGCGCCTGCCAACATGGTGGCCTGTGCCACCCGGCCACCGGCAGCTGCTCCTGCGGCCTGGGCTGGACGGGCCAGCACTGCGAGCTGCGTGAGTGCCCGCGGCCGGGCGGGGGGCTGGGCGGCCGGGCGGGCGGGGGGCTGGGCGGCTGGGCGGCTGGGGGCTGGGAGCATGGGCGGGGGGCCTGGGCCGGGGGCCGGGCTGAGGGCCTGGGTGGCTGGGTGGGGGGCGGGGGGCCTGGCAGCTGGGCTGGGGGCCGGGGGCCTGGGTAGGCAGCGGGCGGCCGGGTGGGCGGCTGGGCGGGGGGCGGGGGCCTGAGCGGCGGAGGGTCGGCTCCCGGGTCATCGTGCTGCCCGCCCGGGGCCCACCCACCGCTCTCCGCAGCCTGCCCCGTGGGGCGCTACGGCGCCGCCTGCCGCCTGGCCTGCTCCTGCCTCAACAACGGCTCCTGCGAGCCCGGCTCGGGCGCCTGCCGCTGCGGCCCCGGCTTCTACGGCCCGGCCTGCGAGCACGGTGAGCGGCCGGCCCGGCACCCCTCCCTCCTGCGGGGATCCGGCTCGCCTGGGCTCGGGGCCTAGGGGACTGGGGTCATATCGGAGCCCGGGGAACTCCCCCGAGCCTAGTACAGGGGAGCAGGGGGAGCCCAGACCCCAGCCCTTTGCACACCGGGTAAACTGAGGCAGGCCTCTCACCCGGTTTCCCCAGCCTGTCCCCCTGGCTTCCACGGGCTCGGCTGCCAGGAGCTGTGCCGGTGCCAGCACGGAGCCCCCTGCCACCCCGTCAGCGGTCAGTGCCTGTGTCCCGCCGGCTCCCAGGGCCAGTCCTGCGAGAAGGGTGAGTGCCCGCCCCCGCCCGCCCGCCCGCCCGCCGGCGCGGGAAGGAGAGAGCTGAGTCTGCCCCCCCCGCAGGGTGTGAGCCCGGCTAGTTCGGAGCGGCCTGCGGTCAGCGGTGTACCTGTGAGGGGGGCGCCGCCTGCGACCCCGTCTCCGGCCGCTGCCTCTGCCCCCCTGGGCGCACGGGGGCCGCCTGTGAGCTCGGTGAGTCTGCGGTCCCTCCGGGGGGCGCCCTCAGCTGTCAGGGCCCGCCCTTAGGCCCCCTGCGGGTGTCGGGTGCCTGGGCCCCAGGGGGTGGGAGGAGCCCCGCCCCCACGGCTGGGATGGGGGGGCTGCCGTCGGTGGTCTTGCTGTGGGGGCGCCGTGACCGCCAGGCCCCCTGGACAGGGCGGGACGGGCAGTGGGTCTGGACAGGGGCTGGTACCCGGCGCGTACCCGGGAGAGCCCGCAGGGCCGGCCCCCAGGGCCCCGAGGGCGACCAGCGGGCGGCAGGCTCTCGGGCCCAGCTCCCCGCCTCCCCGCAGACTGCAGGGCCGGCTTCTTCGGGCCGGGCTGTGCCCTGCGCTGTGACTGCGGGGGCGGGGCCGACTGCGACCCCGGCAGCGGCCGGTGTCACTGCGTGGACGGCTACACGGGGCCCACCTGCCGCCAAGGTGAGCCAGCACGTGGGAGTGATGCGGGACCCTGTGTCCCGGCCCCGCCCCAGCCTGGGCCCCTCCCCGCGCGCAGTGCCCACCGGTCCTGGTGGCCTGGGGTTCCCCTGGCTTCTGAAGGGCAAAGTGTAACCCTGCGGCCCCAAGCAGCCCCAGGCTCCTCCCACCGAGGGCCAGGCCGGGTGTGTGTGTGTGTGTGTGTGTGTGTGTGTGTGTGTGCCGTCAACCTTGCCAGCCTGGTGCTGTGGCGGCACCTGGTGGTCAGGCCTGTTACTGCACCTGAGGGCCAGACAGCCTTGGGCAGCCCCCACGTTTGAGGGGCTGGGGTGCTGCCTGCAGAGGCCCCTTGGGAAGACGGACACTGTGTGTGCGTGAGGCCGGAGCCCCGCTCGGATGGGACCTGCTAGTTCTGGGGCGAAACCTCCCCTCCCCCCACCCAGCCTGAAGTCCCGTCTCCCAATCCCCCGTGCTGCCTGGACAGGGCCATCTGGGAACACTCACTTGGGGGGTGAGGGGAGAGGCTCCTCGTTTGCCTGGGGTGGGGACGCTGCAGGCCTGGGCTTCCCTCTCCATCGCCCACCCAGGGGTGGGGCGCTAACGGGAGTGGGTCTGTCTGCCTTCAGGTGGGCCCCCCCAGCTCCCAGGGACCCCGACCCCAGCCCTGGGCCCAGGTAAGGGCTGATGGCGTTTGGGTGGCTGGAGTGTCGGCGGACGGAGGCGGAGGAGGGAGGGGTGTGGGCTCAGGTGGGACTGAGCCTCAGAGAACTGCCTGGGGGCAGCGGGGAGGGGAGGCCAAGCTGGGGAGCAGGGGTGCGTGATGCCCCATCTGGCACTGACTCCCTCCCCCCCGTCCCTGGCAGCCTCCCGGGCCGCCCGGCACAGACTGGCGCCCGGGCCCCGCCGCCGGGCCGAGGAGCACTAGCAGCAGCGTGCCGCGTCCCAGCCACCGACAGGACCCCGGGCCTGGAGCTCTCGGAGGGACACGGGGTCAACGGGGGTCAGGACGGCAGCCCCCCGGCTTCCGGGCTGTGGACACTGCGGCCGCTGCAGGGCCTGCACGGTGGCCTGGCAGCAGGAGGCTCCGCCTGGGCAGCTCTGGAGCGAGCGGACTGGCCTGGCTGAGGGCCCGCCCGCCCCCGGGGGCCCCGCAGGCCTGGTGGGGACCGCGGGCCGGGCGGCTGCAGGGCCGGAGGGCGTGGGCCTGCCCTCCGGCGGGCTCTCCGGTGCTACGCCCGGGACTGCGGCGGGAAGGTCACAGCGTATTTATATGACGGTATTTATGGGCGGTGGGTGTGCCCGCCGCACCCTGGGCGCTGTGAGGTGCCTGGCTCCTGCCGCCCCCGGAGGCCCGGACTCAGGACTGCGGGGCGGGGGCCCGGGGCGCGGGCACCTTGTGAAACCCAGGAGGCTAAGAAAGGGGCTCCTTCCCCAGCCGGTGCGTGTGCTGTTCTGTGCGACTCCGGGGGAGGGGCCCGGGCGCTGTTCTCAGTGCTGAAGGAGAGTCTGAAATCGAATCTGACGGCCTGTAAACGCCCGCAGCACAGCCCCCGGTCCCTGCTGAGGGTGCCTGGAGGATGGCGTGTGTACGCATGCGCGTGTGTGAACATGTGTGCATGCATGTGCGCACGCGTGTGCAGGGGCCATGAGCCAGTCGCACTCTCCAAACAACCTAGTGAGAGAATCAGCAGCTGAGCGCCCCACCCTGTGCAGTCACAGGAGCCGGAGGATGAGGGAGAGGGGGGAGGCCAAGTAAACGTGAGTGGGGACAGGCTGGGAAGAGGCGAAGGGCCTTCCTTCCACACCCCCGGGGGCTGTCTCCTCCCGGGAGGCGGGAAAGTCTCAGAAGAGGGAGGAAGCCCTAAGGTAAGAGGTTACAAAGGACCCAGCACGGCCCGGCGGGGGGGGGGGGGAGGGCGTTCCCTGGTCACACGGACACGGGGACACGGCACACGCGGTGAGGCTAAGGCTGGAGAGCAGGAGTCAGTGTTTCCAGGAAACACACACACACACATGCACACACGGGCGCCGGCACAGCGATGTGGCATAGCAGGTGGGAAACGGTCCCCCCGGGGCTTTCTCTCCAAAGCCCACGCCGCCGGGCAAAGGGACACGCGCAGTGAGACCTCTGCGTAAGCGCTCACACGTGCACTGTGCCGATAGTCACGCCACGTTCATGTACGCACACAGTCACAGGAGTCCATACACTACACTCAGAACATTTCTCCGAAGACTGATAAAAAAACTCCAGCAAGATTGTTGATCGTTTGAATGTCAAGCGAGGAAAAATGTACAGAAAGAACATTAACGCAGGCCCACCAGGGCGTGATGCTAAAGACGGAACATCGACAGCCGTGTGCCGGGATCTTCGGAAACAGGGAATGGCTGTGTTTGGGGGAAATAGGAAAGGCCGTGGCACCGAGGCCCCCCCCACCCAGGCCGTGGCACCGAGGCCCCCCCAGGCCGTGGCACCGAGGCCCCCCCCAGGCCGTGGCACCGAGGCCCCCCCCAGGCCGTGGCACCGAGGCCCCCCCAGGCCGTGGCACTGAGGCTCCGAAGCCACGCTCCTCCGCTGGCCGCCCAGGCGGCCCGGGGGCAGTGGCCGCCCTCCCCAGGGCTCGGGGAGAATGGAGGTGTTCGGGCAGGTGACCCAGCACAGGGGCCGCGCAGGCCACCCCGCCTCCGGCACGTGGGGCTCCTGTGGCCGGCGCGGCCCCTGTGCGTGGAAACCGGTGTCACACCAGCTCTTTAATGCCCCGGAGAGCAGTCAGTGCGTGCCGGCCCACACGGCCCCGCCCCCACCCTCCTCTGGGGGCAGTAGCCCGGGTGCGAGGTCTCCTGTGCACACAGGCACGAGGGGGCAGGAGGTGGGCAGCCACGCCAGCCCATTCTCAGGGTCCCTCCACGTCGTGATGGCACAGCTCTGAGTGCTCGGGGCGGGAAGGCCGGTGGGAGCTGGGGGGGGGGGCAGTGGCCACGCCGCTGGGCTCCTCCCGGGAACGGGGCCGGTCTGAAGCCACGGCTGCAGGCTCGGTCCTCGGGGAGGTCCAGGACGTAGGCTCCTGGGACGGGTCGCTGTGCCCGTGCCCGGGCCCGGCCCGGCGCTGGCGGGCGGAGTGCGGCGGAGCCCGAGGGGCGGGCCTACACGTCCGTCTCCACGCGCAGCCGCTCCATCCGGCGCACGTTGCCCTCCACGGCCACGTGGCTGGTGATGCTCTGGATGAAGTCCTCCGGGAACCAGCCCGTCTCGCCGTCCCGCAGCCGCTCGCCGAAGAGCCAGCCTGGCCAACGCGGGCAGTGAGGGCGGGGCCTGGCACCCGGAGGCCCGAGCCCCGCCGCCTGCCCCGAGGGCCCGGAGCCCCGCCGCCTCCCCCCGAGCCCCCGCCGCCTCCCCCAAGGGCCCGCCGCCTCCCCGAGGGCCCCCACCGCCTCCCCCGGACCCCCCGCCGCCTCCCCGAGGGCCCGGAGCCCTGCCCCCTCCCCCCCCCCCCCGAGGGCCCGGAGCCCCGCCCCCTCCCCTGAGGGCCCGGAGCCCCCGCCGCCTCCCCAAGGGCTCAGAGCCCCGGCCGCCTCCCCCGGACCCCCCGCCGCCTCCCCAAGGGCTCAGAGCCCCCGCCGCCTTCCCCGAGGGGCCCTCACAAGGTCTCGGGCTCCCACCAGCTCTGCTGGCCCCTGTGGGGTCCCAGCAGCAGCGGAGCCCCAGCTGAGGACACGGCTTCTGTCCTGCACCTCAGGGGCGTCTTGGTCCCAGCCTGCCGTGAGCAGTGACCTCTGCTGGGGCCAGGGCTGCTGCCATGCCAGTGTGGCCAGACCCTCGCCCGCCTGCCCAGGGTCCAGCTTGCCTGCCCCCCTTTGCCCTCCCTGCCACACCCCCGGCCCTGTGCGCCCTCCCCCTCCTCACCGTCCTCCTCTGCAGTCTGCCCTCCCTGCCACACCCCCGGCCCTGTGCGCCCTCCCCCTCCTCACCGTCCTCCTGCTGCAGGACCAGCACCACGTCAGCCTGCTGTAGCGAGAGCTCATCCCCCTGCTTGGCGAAGTAGGCCTTGGTGACCTCCACCTGCGGCAGGTCTGCGGACAGAGGCCGGCGTGAGGGACCGTCCTCGGGGAGGGTGGGCCCTGACCGCCCCAGGGCCCAGGTCTCCTCTGGCCAGAGCCGCCCCCCTCCCTGCAGTGGGACAGGCTGCTTTCAGGGTCCAGGTGCCCGCCCGCAGGGGCGCTCCCAGCTTCAGGGGGAGGGGTGGGGTGGGGTGGGGCGGGAGGAAGGGGTCTGTCCCCACCAGCTACGGGGCTCCGGGCACCACAGGGAGAGAGGCCCCGAAGGCCCCCCCAGGGTCAGGCAGTGGGGTGGACAGAGGGACTGACGGAGAGTACCTCCCCCCCTGCCCGCCCGCCCTCAGGCCTGGAGGGGGAGCTGCGGCCCTGCTTAGGGGGCGGGGGAGGGAGGGCAGGGGTGTGTGCGTGCGAGCGCTCACCTCCCTTGTTGGCCAGGCCCAGCCACTGCTGCTCCCGGTGGGTCAGCGCCGTGATCCAGCGGGCGCGGTCACTCCTGGGGCCGAGCGAGAGGGTGCCGAGGCTGATGCCGCCAGCCCCGCCCCCACCCCAGTGTGGCACAGACAGGATGGGGGCACGCGACCTCCAACATGGTCTGCGTGCTGCCGCACACCTGCCCGGGTCCGAGCCAGGGCAGCAGCCGCCTCAGCATCCAGCCCCCCCCCCCCCCCCCCCCCGCCTCCTCGCCGGGCTCTGCGCCCTGCCTCTTGTGAGCTGCTGTCTGACAGGAGCCTCAGCTTCCCGCCGGGAGGGGGAGCGCACCAGGCGGAGGGGGGAGGACCGTCTGCTGGGCTCCCTCAGCGCACTGAGTCCCCATCCCCCTCCAGCCCCGCTGGCCTCCACTGCTCCACGCCACGGCCTCCTGCCCTGGGGCCCCAGGCTTCCTCCCCGCCGGCCCCTGCTCCCTCTCCTGCCCGTCCCCTCACCCCTCACCCCTCACCCCTCACCCCGCAGCTGCTGGTCCTGTGGCTGGGCTGCCCCCTCCCGGGAGGGTGAACCCCGCGAGGAGGCGGCTGTCCCCGCACCCGGGTGTCCCCCAGAGCAGCGTCAGGGGGGGGCGGCGGGAATGCCGTCCTCAGGCCACACGGCCCTCCCCCGGCAGCCCCGGGCTTACGCGGAGTCCGAGGACAGCAGGATGCGCTCCTGGCGGCCCTCACTGTTGTGCAGCAGCGTCACCTGGAAGGGGTGCGGCACCAAGGAGCTGCGGTTGCCACCGGCGGCCGGGGGGAGCTCCGTGGCCTCCAGCTTGTGGACCTGGAGGTGGTCCACGTGGGCGTAGTCCTGGACCACGAAGCTGTCCTCGCTGCGGGAGGCGGGAGGGGCAGGGTCTGCGGCGCCGCCCACCGGCCACCAGGCCCCTCAGTGCTGGGGGGGGGGGCGCTGGGAGGGCGCGCTCTCGCTGCCTCCCCCCCTCCCCGACCCGGGTCCCCTGTGGGGGGTGGGTGGCGCTGAGCACCCCTGGATGGTCCTTGTGGAGGAGACCCGGCCGCTGCCGTGGGCCGACCGGCTGGGCAGGGACCTGTGTGTGCCCCCATCTGAGGCCGGCTCCCCCTGCGTCCTCGTGGTCGCCAGCCCACTCCTGGCCCTGAGGCTGCAGCCGCCCACTTCCCACGGTGCACAGCCCACGGCCCACAGCCCACGGCTCACGGCCCACAGCTCACAGCCCTTGGCCCATGGCCCACGGCCCTCAGCCCACTACCCATGGCCCACAGCCCACGGCCCACAGCCCACGGCTCACGGCCCACGGCCCCCGGTCCATGGCCCCCAGCCCATGCCGCGTGCACAGCCCATGGCCCTCTACCCACGTCCCTCGGCCCACGGCCCATGTCCCACAGCCCTCGGCTCACGCCCCACAGCCCACTACCCACGTCCCTCGGCCCACGGCCCACGTCCCACGGCCCTCAGCCCACTACCCACGGCCCACAGCCCTCGGCTCACGGCCCACAGCCCTCGGCCCACAGCCCACGGCTCACGGCCCACGGCCCCCGGTCCATGGCCCCCAGCCCATGCCGCGTGCACAGCCCATGGCCCACTACCCACGTCCCTCGGCCCACGGCCCACGTCCCACGGCCCTCAGCCCACTACCCACGGCCCACAGCCCTCGGCCCACGGCCCACGGCCCTCGGCCCAGGGCGCAGACCGGCCCGCGGGGAGGGCCCACCTCTTCCTCTTGGTGACCACCAGCACATCGTTGAACAGGAACAGGTGGCACGTGGGCCGGCTGGCGAGTTTCCGGAACAGCCCGGTCTCCTCCACCACGAACAGCTCCCCGCGCTTCAGCAGCCAGCGGGAGGCGGAGATCAGCGGGAGGGACTGGGGACAGACAGACAGAGGGACAGACAGACGTCACGCCCTGGTCCTGGGCGGCCAGGCCGGCAGCTGCTGGTGGGGGCCGACCCCAGGGCTGCCAGGAGAGGCCTCCCGGCCGCCGGCGAAGGGCCATCCAGCCGGCCGCTCTGAGCCGGGCCGGGCTCTCTGTGCCTGTGGGTGCCCCTCGGCGCCCGGGGGCCTCCCCGGTGGGGAGTGGTCTGAGGCTGGGACAGGCCGGGGCCAGCCGGGCGGTGGGCACAGCGAGCGTGCCCTGGGCCGCCTACCTTGACCTTGCCGAAGTCCAGCTGCGTCTGCAGCGTGCACATCTGCTCCATGCGCTCCATCTTGTGGGCCCCCTCATTGCATTGCTTCACCAGCTGCGGGGTGGGCGGGGCGGTGGGTGGGGCGGTGGGCGAGCTGTCCCCCACTGCCCAGCGCCACCCCCTGGCTGTCCTGTCCCTGCCCTGCCCGGAGCTCCCTCTGGGCCTCCGTCTGGGCCTCCGTCTCCCCACGGGCGCCACGGGAGCCTGGGGCGGACGGTATCCAGACACAGTGTCCCGCCGGGCCCCCGGGGCCTCTGCTCTCGGGGTGGGGGTCCCCCTCACCTTGTTCATGGCTTTGAAGGCTCGGCTGGCCGCCTTGTACCTCTCGGGGTGGCCCTGGGTCTTGAGGCAGAGTGTCTGCGGGGAGACGGCAGGTGAGGGGGCACCAGGCACCTCCTGTTCCTGGCTCAGTGGCCTGCAGGGGGGAGGCCCCCTCCCGGCACCAGACCTGGGTGGGGGCCAGGAGGGCGGGGCTCCTGCCGGGCCCCCTGGGGGACACAGCGCCCACACGGCTCGGCCAGGCCGGTGGGGGGCCCTGGAGTGAGTGCCCCCAGGACCCGTTCCTTTCTGTCCGGTAACCTCCGTCTAGCCAGGGGCCCAGAGCCTGTTCCTACTCTCCCAGAATGCCCCGGGGGATGTCCCCTCTGGCCTGGACAGGGGACCGCCTAGCACAGGGCCACATGCTGCCTCAGGAGCATAGCCGGGCTCCTGCCACGTGTGTGTTCACATGTGCATACATGTGTATGCATGTGCCTTTCACCCTCACATGCCCCTCTGCCCCTTGAGCCAACATCTCAGAGATGCAAGCCACTCCAGGCCCCTCCGAGCCCCTCCCCGCACCCGGGACAACGGGCCGGGGGTGCTCGGAGGAGCCAAGGCCCAGGACCGACGCCGGCAGGGGTCTGGGAGACGCGGGTAAGACGCATCCACGTGCTGTCACGTCAGCACAGGGCCGGTCCCGGCAGAGACTGTTCTACGGGTGACGATGCCGGGACCACGTCGCCATGGCGACTAAAGCCCTTATCAAGCCCCTCCTCACTGTCACTCACAGGGGCCGGGTGGAGGAGGTCCAACGTGAGCCCCTGGAGCCCAGCGCTCCCTCCCCCCGGGCCCGGCGCCCCCTCCCCCCGGCCCGGCGCCCCCTCCCCCTGGGCCCCGGCGCCCCCTCCCCCCGGGCCCGGCGCCCCCTCCCCCCCGGGCCCGGCAACCCCTCCCCCCGGGCCCAGCGCCCCCTCGACCCCCTCAGGGGCCCGGCGCCCCCTCGCCCCTGGGCCTGGCGCCCCCACGCCCCCGGGCCCGGCGTCCCCTCCCCCCCCCGGGCCCGGCGCCCCCTCCCCCGGGGCCCGGCGCCCCCTCCCCCGGCCCGGCGCCCCCTCGCCCCCGGGCCCGGCGCCCCCACCCCCCCGCCCGGCGTCCCCTCGCCCCCGGGCCCGGCGCCCCCTCCCCCCCCCCGGCCTGGCGCCCCTCCCCTGGGGCCTGGCGCCCCCTCCCCCCGGGGCCCGGCGCCCCCTCCCCCCGGGGCCCGGCGCCCCCTGCCCCCCGGGGCCCTGCGCCCCCTCCCCCCGGGCCCAGCGCCCCCTCGCTCCCCCCAGGGGCCCGGCGCCCCCTCGCCCCTGGGCCCGGCGCCCCCTCGCCCCTGGCGCCCCCTCCCCCCCCGGGCCCGGCGCCCCCTCCCCTGGGGCCCGGCGCCCCCTCCCCCCCCCCCGGCCCGGCGCCCCCTCCCCCCCGGGGCCGGGCGCCCCCCCCCCCGGCCCGGCGCCCCCTCCCCCCGGGCCCGCCCCCCCCCCCCCCCGGGCCCGGCCGGTGCTCACGTCGGTCAGCAGGGGCAGCCGCGTGACCCGCTGCATGGGGAGGATGAGGAAGGAGATCATGGGCAGCCCGCCGCACGCCGGCCGCCGCTCGATCTCCCGCAGGGCGTCCCGGAAGGCGGCGTTGCTGCTCCTGTGGGCGGCGGGGGGGGGGGGGGGGGCGGTCAGGACCGCGCCGGGCTGGCCCCCCCCGCCCCCCGCACCCCGCCGCTCACGTGAGCCTCTGCAGGGCGCGCTGCTGGTAGACCTCGTTGGAGCAGTAGGCCACGTAGGGGTGGAAGTGCCGCTCCGCGTGCTCCTCCAGGATGTCGCTGATGTCCTCCACGCACACCTGCGCCTGGTGCCGCCGCTCCAGGGCCTCGAAGAACCTGTGGGCGAGCACGGGGCTGGCTGCCCTGCCCACGCGTGTGTGGGCGCACACGCACACGCACACACACACACCTCCACACATAAAGGCACACGTGCGAAACGTACAGACAACACACATATACTACACGCACACGCACACGCACACGCACACATGTGCACACGCCTCCACACACAGGCACATGTGCGAAACGTACAGACAGACGACACACATATACCACACACACATGCACACGCACACGCACACACGTGCACACACCTCCACACACAGGCACATGTGCGAAACATACAGACAGACAACACACATATACCACACACACATGCACACGCACACGCACACCTCCACACATAAAGGCACATGTGCGAAACGTACAGACAGACGACATACATATACTACACACACATACACACACGTGCACACACCACACACAGGCACATGTGTGAAACGTACAGACAACACACATATACCACACACACACATGCACATACACACATATACACACCTCCACGCGTAAAGGCACATGTGCGAAACGTACAGACAGACAACACACATATACTACACACACACACACACACACGAAACACACAAACACATGCATGTGCGCACACGCACACACGCCCAGCTCAGCTCCCGGGCAGCACGGAATGACTGGGCACAGACCCTGGGCCAAAGCCAAGGCCACGCCCCTCCTGGTGGGTAGGAGGTGCGGCCCCAGGGAAGCCGGCGGCAGGACCGAACTCCACCCGGATCCACTCCCGGGGACGTGGTTAGAGGCCCAGGACCTGCCTCCAGCCCGGCACCCGCCCAGCTCAGAGCGGTGCCCCGGGCAGACTCCCGAGGTGACAGCCACCCCCGATCCTCCTGGGGTCCCGAGGCTCAGTGCACCCAGGCCTGGCAGGGGGTGAGGATGCCTGAGCCAACGTGGTGAGGGGGGACTGGCCAGGCTCTGCCCCCACTGCGGGGGGCTGGGCCGGCAGGTCACTGCTCCACAGGCTCTGCTCAGCCTCCAGCAGGTGCTGGACCCCAGGCCCCACCCCTCCCCAGGCCCCACCCCTCCCCGGCCCCATCCCTCCCCAGGCCACACCCCTCCCCGGCCCCACCCCTCCCCAGGCCCCACCCCTCCCCAGGCCCCACCCCTCCCCGGCCCCATCCCTCCCCAGGCCACACCCCTCCCCAGGCCACACCCCTCCCCAGGCCACACCCCTCCCCAGGCCACACCCCTCCCCAGGCCTGGCCATGGCAGCCGAGGTCCGTCTCGGGGCCGGGCCAAGGCCACACCCGTGCAGCGTCTCTCTCATCCCTGAGCTGGGCCAGCCCGGAGTAGTCCTGCGTGGAGATAAGATGCTGGCTGACCGCAGAGGGCAGAGGACAGAGGGCAGAGGGCAGAGTCCCAGAGCTCAGACCCGCACGGCGACCTCCGGCCTGCACCCCTCATCACCCAGTAACCAGGTGCCGCAGCCTTACAGCTCCCCCGGGGGAGGGGGAGCTGGTACCCAGACAGGGAGGTGGGGCCAGTCAGCCCCCCAGGACTGCGGCGGCCCCACCGGGAGGAAACGGGCCCCCACCCACCATGGGCCCGGGAAGACGGGCCGGCTCTGGCTGCCCTGGCGAGGCCAGTGAGGGGCGGGGCGGGGAATGGCCTCAGCCCGTCCCTCAGGCCCCTCAAGGCCCGGCCTTTCCTCGGGACGTTCTGAGGCTGACGGGCAGCCGGCAAATGGCAGTGTGTCCAGAAAGATGGGGACCACCCCCTGCCCTAGGATGACACACAGGCACAGGCAGACGAGCTGGCCAGCACCCCCTGCGGGCATTCTGGAAGGTTCTGAGAAGGGGCTGGGAGGTCTGAGATGGCCTGAGCCACGGACCAAAGCAGCCGATCCCCGGGGAGGCCACGTGAATGGCCACAGAGCATCCCTGGACTGTGCCCGCCACGGGAGTACACACACAACTGCTGCCCACATGTGCGCACACACATGCACACACACACGGTGTGTTCACATACACACATGCAAACAGCTGCTATCCCACCCACACACACACATGTATGCACCCAAACATGCACATATACCTGCTACAATACATATGTACCCACTTGTACACGTGTGCATGCACGTACACAACCCCACACTTGCAAACAGTTGCTACCTCACACACATGTATGCACTCACATACATACACACATACCTGCTGTTGTGCATGTGTACCCACACGTGCACATGTGCACGCACGCACACACACACACAGCCCCACGCTGGCCCGCAGTGGCACGCCCAGCCCCTCCCCCACCTCCTGCCCTGCAACCAGAGCCGGGGCGGCACCAGACACCGGAGGAACATGACCCGGTGCGAGGAGAGGCCATCCCCCCCTCCCCCCGCCCTGTGGGCACCTCACGTCCGGCCAGGCAGCCTCTGGGCCCGGGGCCCTGGTGGGCACGTGCCTGTTGCTGGACAGAGCCATGGCCCAGGGAGGTGTCCCCTCTGACCCTCAGGGGATGGGGCAGGGTCCCAGGACACCCGCCGTCTGTGCTCCCGGGCCACTCTCCGGCCTCAGGGCCCAGGGGGTTCTCACTCTCCCAGTCTGAGGGGGTGTGCTCCGGGCACGCGGTGGGTTGTGGGGGGTGGGCGGTGGCTTGTGATGGGCAGATGGTGGGTTGTGGGGGGTGGGTTGTGGGTGCGGGTGGTGGGTTGTGGAGGGGGCGGGTTGTGGGTTGTGTTGGGTGGGTGGTGGGTTGTGGGGGGCGGGCGGTGGGTTGTGGGGGGCGGGTTGTGGGTTGTGTTGGGCGGGTGGTGGGTTGTGGGGGGCGGGCGGTGGGTTGTGGGGGGCGGGCTGTGAGTTGTGGGGGGCGGGTTGTGGGTTGTGATGGGCGGGTGGTGGGTTGTGTGGGGCGGGTGGTGGGTTGTGGGTGCGGGCGGTGGGTTGTGGGGGGCGGGCGGTGGGTTGTGAGGGGCGGGCGGTGGGTTGTGGGGGGCGGGCGGTGGGTTGTGGGGGCGGATGGTGGGTTGTGGGGGGCGGGTGGTGGGTTGTGAGGGCGGATGGTGGGTTGTGATGGGCGGGCTGTGGGTTGTGATGGGCGGGCTGTGGGTTGTGGGGGGCGGGCACACACACACATCCCCATGTGCACGCACACACACACACACACACAGCCCCATGCTGGCCCGCAGTGGGGTGAGTTGTGATGGGCGGGCGGTGGGTTGTGATGGGCGGGCGGTGGGTTGTGGGTGCGGGTGGTGGGTTGTGGAGGGGGCAGGTTGTGGGTTGTGTTGGGTGGGTGGTGGGTTGTGGGGGGTGGGTGGTGGGTTGTGGGGGGCGGATGATGGATTGTGGGTGCGGGTGGTGGGTTGTGGGGGGGGCGGGTGGTGGGTTGTGTTGGGTGGGTGGTGAGTTGTGGGGGGCGGGCTGTGGGATGTGATGGGCGGGCGGTGGGTTGTGGGGGGGGCGGGTTGTGGGTTGTGGGTGCGGGTGGTGGGTTGTGGGGGGTTGTGGGGGGCGGGTGGTGGGTTGTGGGGGGCGGGTAGTGGGTTGTGGGGGGCGGGCGGTGGGTTGTGGGGGGCGGGCGGTGGGTTGTGGGGGGCGGGCTGTGAGTTGTGGGGGGCGGGCGGTGGGTTGTGATGGGCGGGTGGTGGGTTGTGGGGGCGGGTGGTGGGTTGTGAGGGGTGGATGATGGGTTGTGATGGGCGAGTAGTGGGTTGTGGGGGGCGGGCGGTGGGTTGTGGGGGGCGGGCGGTGGGTTGTGATGGGCGGGCGGTGGGTTGTGATGGGCGGGCGGTGGGTTGTGGGGGGCGGGCTGTGGGATGTGATGGGCGGGTGGTGGGTTGTGGGGGGCGGGCGGTGGGTTGTGGGGGGCGGGCGGTGGGTTGTGGGGGGCGGCGGGTTGTGAGGGCGGGCAGCGGGCTGTGATGGGGTGGAAGGTGGGGTGTCGGAGCGGGGGTGTGGCTCACCGCTGGCTGGCGGCCTGCACGTCCAGGATGTTGGAGAAGAGGTGGTGGTGCTCCGTCTGCGTCATGGTGGCCCGCAGCTCCGGGCACCGCAGGAACTCGGCCACCAGGATGCCCAGGCTGTGCTGGTAGGAGAACTCGGACGTCAGGATCTCGAAGATGGCCTGGGGCGGGGCGGAGAGCGGATTGGAGGAGCTGTGCCAGGGCAGCCTGGACACGCACACGCACACTCATGCACACACACACACACACACACACACGCAAGCGGCTGGCCAGGGTGGTCTGAGCCGAGTGCTCAGGGCGGGGACGGGGGGAGGTGACCAGCCCTGGTGGGATGAACACGCAGCCAGGGGGCCGGGACCCCGACTCCTAGGTCTGCCTCTGGCTCGGCCCAGTAGGAGATGAGACACAGGCCAGGGGAAGCAGTAGCTGCCTCAGCGCTGCCCCACCTGCCAAGGGCATCAGCCATCGCCCTGGTGTCTGGCCCAGGAGGTGGTGGGGGGCGGGGGGCCGGCAGGCGGGCAATGTCACCATGGCCGCTGTCCCCCTTCCCGCACGGTGAGGCTGGACACAGGGCTGCCCCCACCGAGCCGCTCACCTCCTGCCTCTTGCGCTCCTCAGCCGGCAGCGTGTCCAGGATGCCCGACTCCACCACCTGCGGGCACAGGCCTGGGTCAGGGGCCACGTGTCCCCAGTCCTCCCTGCCGCTGGGGCCACCATGGACGCCAGAGGGGCTGGAGCGGGCGGAGCCGGGCTGGCCGGGAGCCCTCTCCCAGGCTCAGCGCCGGGGGCCCGCCCAGCTGGCCGTCCCTGCCTGGTCCCCTCACCTGCGTCTCTCTCCAGGGACACAGCCCTGGGTGGGCCCTGCACCCTCAGGGAGCTGGGGCGCGAGGGAGGAGGAGGGGAATCCGGAGAGAAAGGCCAAAGGCACACAGCAGGAGGGGTGCAGAGGGCGGGCCGCCTGGGAAAGCTGGGGGTCTGGGCCCAGTGTCAGCGCCCGGACAGGAGGAGGGGGTGACACTGCTCCAGCGGGCGCCCCCCTCGGCTCCCTGCCTGTCGGGGCCGGGCCTCCAGGCTGCCCTGGCGGAGTGTGGCTCTCAGCCACGCGTGCCTGTCGGGACAGGCTGGGCTGTGCCTCTGCCGGAGGGCACCCCATTCCTGCTCCTCCCACAGGGCTGGGCACAGGCCGTGTCCTAGGTCTATGGGGGGGGGGAGTATATGAGGATGGGGGGAGGGGCAAGCCCCATGCCTCTTCCTCTAGCCCAGGCTGGGCCGAGACCCAGCGCAGGGGGTGGGGTCAGAAACCCCGTCATGCATGGAGGCTGCAGCGTCCTGAAGGCCACGGGCCCCAGGGCCACGTGCCTGGCCCCTGGCACACACCTGGCACCGGCAGGTGGGCACGCACTTCCCACTTCTCATCCGCCTACCCTCACCCAGCCTGCGCCTCCTGGCTGGGTCCCGCAGCCTCAGCTCTCACGCCCTCTGGGTGCCCATCAGGAGCCCGCGAACCGCGGACAGGAGACCCGAGTGCCCGCCCCACTGCCCGCTGCGCCCCCTGTGGCCGCCCAGCTCCCACCGGGGCTCCGGGGACAGTCAGGAGTCTGCCCGTGGCCGCCTGGGCCTCGGGGTGACAGCCGCGCCCGGGCACGTGCTCTGAGCCCGGCCCCCTCCTGTGGTCTCGAGTCCCCATCCCTGCAGGCGGCGTGAGGCTGGCTCGGCCGTGGCACGGGCTCTGTGGGAGCCGAGGCCTGGCCTCGCCCCATCCCCTCCTGCCTCCTCAGGGGACCCCCTGGCACTTTCCCGGGGGCAGGGCCCTGCGGGAGGGGTCCCTGGTCCCCACGGCTCCCCGGAGGCTGGGCTGAGCAGGATGCAGGGCACGGGCTCAGCTAGGACGCCCATCACACACCTGCTGAGACCGGGTGCAGGGCAGGGCGGGCTGCTCAGGACACGGGCGAGCTCTCCTGTGGCTGGGGGGAGGGGGAGCTGGCTCCAGGTGACCGGGGCGGGGGGGGGGGGGCTACCTCGGGGAGCTGGCTCCAGGTGACCGGGCAGGGGGGCCTACCTCGGGGAGCTGGCTCCAGGTGACCTGGGGGGCCCGGAAGCTCTTGACCACGATGGGGGCGCCCACCGTCCGCGCCCGCTCGGGGCTGCCTGGCTCGTCCAGCAGGTCGTCGTCGGACTCCTGGCTGGTGGTCAGGCCCCGCTCCCGGATCTCCTGGTAGAACCGGGGGTCTGGGGGGAGGGGGAGCGTCAGGTGGCGGCCCGGGGGCCGGGAGCGGAACCCACAGGCCGAGGCCCGGGGAGCCCCCGAGAACATCGGCGCCCCTGGAGCAGGCCCCCCAGGCCGCCGGCTGCTCTGGCGGGCAGGCAGGGTGGCGCCCAGTGGGTGCAGAATGTGGCACCTTCAGACCAGGAGCTGACAAGTCAGAGCCCACGGGGTGGGGGTGGGGGTGGGGGTGGGGCTGCAGAGGCCTGGGGGGCTGGCCAAGAGCCCTCAGACCAGGGCTGCATCCTGCTCCCGCACTGCAGGCCCCGGAACGGCCAGGTCCCCCACTCAAAGCCCCGAGGGCCCCCCCACCCCTCCACCTCTCCCTTCCACGCCTCCCCGGGGCCTGGCAGGAGCCGGGTCCTCCCGCCCCCACTCTGGCCTGTTCTGTCCACAGAGGCCGGGGCTGGCAGGGACAGTGGACCCCCCCTAGCTGGGCCCGTGTCCTCAGAAGCCCAGCCTGGCACCCAGGCCAGAGCCCTTCTTGGTCTTGCTGGTCCCTCCATGCCCAGCGGGTGCTCCATCCTGGATGGGCAGACACTTCCCCTGTTGGCACCCACCGCTCAGCAGGCTGATGGCACTGCTCTGCCCCCGCCCCCCTCAAGGCGCAGCTGCCGCCCATGCCCTCCGAGCTCCACCCCACGGGGCTCCCGTGCTCCGAGGCGACCCCAACAGAGCCCAGCAGGTGTGGCACCTTGGTCCCCCGTGTGGCTACCACAGGCCCCCAACACACACGCACACACACACACATGCACACACACGCGCACACACACACATGAGGTGGGCCATTGTTGCCTGGGGTGTGTGTGGGGGCTGTCTCCTGCCCCCAGGATGGCGCAGAAGGGAAACTTCTAGGCCTTTCTAGACCCATCGGCGCTACATGGCCAGGCGGCCACTAGGACCTCTGGTCTCAGAGGAAGCCTGCAGACCCCTCCCCGTCCCCCGGCGAGACCACAGGTCCGGCCCAGCGCCCGCAGCCCCCGGCCACTCACCGTCCTTAAAGGAGCCTTTGTGCGCGCGCTTCCGCCCCAGCGTCCTCTGTGCAAACAACAGAAACGCCGCGGTCAGCGGGGAGGGGGGCAGGTGTGGCCCAGAGCGGCCCCTCCCCTCAGGGCTCAGACCGCTCAGCTCTGTGCGCCCGGGCCGGCAGGAGGGGGCTCTGCGGAGCACACAGGAGCCGCCCCATAGACGCTGCTCAGGGAGGTGGGCCGCCGAGAGGAGGCCAGGGCAGGTGACTAAAATGTGGGCAGATCCAGGAGGGCTGCCTGGAGGTGGAGGCAGGATTGGATCAGTTAAGAGGGGTGCTCAGGAAAGTGGGGTGTTGCCACTCGGGGAAGCCCGAGGCAGGAATGGCGAGGTTAGGAGAAGGCCGAGAGGGACCCTGGGAGTGCGTGGAGGCTGCACGCAGGACCCCTCGGGCGGGTGGCCTGGGACAGCAGGAAGAGGGTGAGCATCCGGCCCCACACCCCGCAGGCCCGGCAGCGGAGGCAGGGCTGCGAGGGGAGCGGGCACCACCCCCCGGCCCACCGGCTGCTGCTCGGAGCTGCCTTCCTGGCGGGATGCACCATCCCCGACCTCACAGGTGCCGGCGCCAGGTGCGGGAGCTGGTTCTCCTGACGAGTCGGGGCCTGAACCTCCCGAGCTGGTCTGGGGTGTGTGGCGCTGCCAGTGCACCTGGGCCTGCGTCCTCTCCCCCCGCCCGCCCTGCATCGTCCCCCAGTGCCCTCTCCCCTCCCGCCTCCAGGTCTGGCACAGGCTGCTGCCTCGGCCCCTCCTCCACCCGGCCCCGCCCTTCACCCGTGCCTCGCTCTAACCTCCCCTTCCGAGCCCCAGGCCCTGTGCTCCGGGGAGTCCCTGCCCTGGGCCCCCCCGGGTCCCTGAGCATACCCGCTGCCCGGGAGCGCTCCTGGGCCTGACCGAGGGGGCTCTCCGCCCCCTGCCCAGACCCTGTGACTCAACAGAAGGAGCCATGGCCCCGCAGGCCTGGCCCTGACGGCGGATGCTGAGGCCGAGGCAGTGCCCAGGGCCCGTCTCCTCAGGCAGGCCCGGCGGGGCAGCGTCCACCCCCCAGGCCGGCATCTTTAAACTCACGACAGTGGCTGTGGCTCCTCTCCTGGCCTGTCTGTACCCCGGAGCCTGCCTGCACCCCGGGGCCTGTCTCCCCACAGTGTGGGCAGGAGCCCTAAGCCGGGAGGCCGTCGAAGGGCAGCCCTGGGCACAGAGGTCCCGGGTGAGGTGCCGTTTGGCTGCCCCGGGCTCCCCAGCCGGCAGAGGCCACGTGGCTGCGGGCAGGAGGGGGCTGTGTGTGCCCAGGGCGGCAGACTGCTCCTGAGCGGAGGCAGCCAGAGCTTTCGCCCTCCGAGTCCTCGACGGGAGCCCCCGGCACTGCGCCCAGGCTTGCGGCTGCAACGCCACCCCTGAGCCCGGCCTGTGAGCCGGCCGGCTCCCCTGGGGCCGGTCCCGCCCCAGGCTGCCCCGCTGTGTCCGAGAGCCACTCACACTACGGGGCCCTGGGCAACAGCTTGGGCCTTTCTGAGCTTCAGCTGCCTCATCTGTAAAATGGGTTTTTTGTGCCTCAGCCCCAGCTCACAGACGGCTCCGGGCTCAGGGAACGGCGGTCAGGAGCCTGCGCGTGGCAGGTGCTCAGAAGCGGCAGCTGGGAGGGTGATGCCATGGCTGCCCCGCCCCCGGCCCCCCAGCTCCCGGGGCCCGAGGCACAACCCCAGCCCCCACCCTGTCTAGGCGCGGCCCACCTTGTGTCTGGGAGAGGGCCGGGCGGGCGGCGGGGCCTCCTCGGCCAGCGCGTGGAGCTTGGGGCTGAGCTGCACGGGGGCCGCCTGGCCGCCCAGCGCCCCCAGGCCCTTCATGGCCGCGCGGTAGGACTGGCTGCGCAGGCTCCGGGACAGCGCCCCCCCGGGGCCCGTGTCCACGTCCATGTCGTCCAGGGAGAAGCTGGGGGCGGCCAGCAGCCGGGGCTCCCGCCGGGCGGCCTCCTTGCTGAGCACGGCGGCGCCGAAGCTCTGGTGGCGAGCGGGGGCCCGGGCCTTGCTGGCCACGGCCAGGCTGCGCGGGATGAGCTGCGCGGTGCCCAGCTTGAGGGCCGCGGGGCTCTGCGTGCTCAGCACCACCGGGCGCGGCTCCCGGGCCTCCGGGGGCGCGGGCGGGGCCCCCGGGGAGTCCGGCTGGAAGACGGCGTTGCTCCGGCCCTGCAGGGGGCTCCGGACCAGCGGGAGCCGGGGCTCGGGGTTCCCCTGGGCGTCCAGCCGCAGCTCCGAGTGGAAGCGGCCTTCCAGCAGCTGCTCCTCCAGCGAGCCGTCCGAGCGCCGCTGGGCCATGGCGGCGGCCGCGGGGTCCTGCGGGGTCAGGCACGGGTCAGCGGGGTCAGCGGGGTCAGGCACGGGTCAGCGGGGTCAGGCACGGGGTCAGGCATGAGTCAGCGGGGTCAGCGGGGTCAGCGGGGTCAGTGGGGTCAAGCACGTGTCAGCGGGGTCAGGCATGGATTAGGCACAGGTCAGCGGGGTCAGGCACGGGTCAGCGAGGTCAGGCACAGGTCAGCGGGGTCAGGCACGGTCATCAGGGTCAGGCACGGGTCAGCGGGGTTAGGCACAGGTCAGCGGGGTCAGGCACGGGGTCAGGCATGAGTCAGCGGGGACAGGCACGGGTCAGCGAGGTCAGGCACAGGTCAGCGGGGTCAGGCACGGGGTCAGGCACGGGTCAGCGGGGTCAGGCACGGGTCAGCGGGGACAGGCATGGGTCAGCGGGGTCAGGCACAGGTCAGCGGGGTCAGGCATGGGTCAGCGGGGTCAGGCACGGGTCAGCAGGAACAGGCATGGGTCAGCAGGGTCAGGCACAGGTCAGCGGGGTCAGGCACGGGTCAGCAGGAACAGGCATGGGTCAGCAGGGTCAGGCACGGGTCAGCTGCGGGCACGGACACAGCCGCCGGGACTGCCGGGCACCGCATATGGCAGTGAGGGTCCGGGGCCGGGCAGGGAGGGTCCCTGCACCTCGGCCTGCGGGACCTGACCCAGATGGGAGCAGCCGGCAGCCGAGGCCGCCCTGCGAGGCCAGCATGCTTCCTTGGATAAACCTGAGCCGGGGTGGCAGTGCGGGCAGCGGGGTCCTGGGCCCGGGCCTGGGATGGGACCTGCCGGGCGGCCTGTGGTCACCACTCCCACCGGGCAGGTGCCAGCCCGCGCCCTCCTCACCCCTCCTCCCCCCGCCCAACGTGGGGTCTGCGAGCTCCCGGGAACTCCAGTTGGGCCCAGGGACCCTCCCTGCAGGGCGGGCAGAGCCGGGCAGCGGGCACCGGGCTGGCCTAGCCCGCAGCACAGCTGACGCTCTGTGGCACCGGGCCGGCTCCGCTAACACCCAGGAGGGGCGGGCCGTGCCTCCCGGGCCCAGAGCCGGCCACCCCCGCGCGGCCGCCGCCCCCGCATTCTTGGGGACAGCCTGAGTCAGCCGGAAGAGGAGGGCGGCCACCGCCTCCCCCGCGCCCGCTGGTGTGGACGTGGCTGCCTCCCGCCCGGCCAGAACGGCTCACGGGGAGCCTGCCCCCGAGCTGATGGGCGCGAGGCAGCCGGCGCCCGAGGGCAAGGCCTCTGGCTCTGAGGGCGGCAGCGCCCATGCCCGGTGCCCACACGCCTGTCTCGTCGCCTCCCCTCCCTCCTCCTGCCGCCTGCCCAGCCCGCCCCCCGTCCTGAGCCGGCCGGGCCCACGGCCTCTCCCAGCCGAGGGCAAAGTCTGCCGGGGGAAGTGCCCGGATGGAACCAGTCGGCCGAGCCACGGCAGGGTGTGGCCTCGGTGCCCAGCCAGGCGGCACCCCGGGCCCGGGCGCCTCCAGCTGGGGACCCGGGTCCGGGGAGAGGCAGGAGCTCCAGGCTGTGCCCTTCCTGCTTAGCTTGTCCCAGAGCGACCCGGGCACCGGCGCCATTCAACCAGCACCCAGAGGCGTGCCGCCCGACAGGCCACCCCCGCAGTGCCCCCGCAGGCCGCCACGCTGGGCTGCTGCGTGCCCCCGTTCCTCACTGAGGTGCAGCCGCCCGAGGGGTCTGTGCGCGGCGGAGTGGACGGGCCTGGCCTCCTCCCCGACAAGCACCCCCTCTTGTCCCGCAGCGGCTCCCCCTCCCCCTGGGGCCTGTGTGCCCTGGTCACACAGGCCCACCCATCGCCGGCTCCCCCAGCCCCTCCTGTCTGGGCTGGCCCGGGCCGTCTGATCCTCCTCCCCTCACCGTGCCCGCTGCCTGTTCTAGGAGACACGCATTGCTGCGCCGAAGGGAGGCCCTGTGCGGGGTGCGCATGCACACAGTGAGCACACAGTGAGCACACACTCCTGACCTCTCTGACCCTCCCTGACCCTGAGGTGTCCCTACCCAGCAGCCTCTCCTGCGTGGGACTTAGAGACCCTCCCTCAGTGTCCTCCCTGGTGCTGGCCTGGTGTCCAGGAGCACCGGCCCTTCAGCTGCCCTCGGGGCAAATGCCAGCCGTGCCGTCCGGGCAGCAGCTGCTGAGAGCCAGCCACCTGCAGAGGCTGCTGGGCCACCGGGGGGTCCGCTCCCGCGAGGCGGCCGGAGGCTCAGAGGCCGGGCAGTGAGGCCGGGCAGCTTCCCCAGCGTGCGTGCCCTCAGGGAGCAGGACAGCCCTCCCGGGCACGGCCCCGCCGGGCACAGGCCCAAACCCCGGTGAGCCGGCTCCACAGGCACATGCCGCCGTCCTGCTCTCCCAGCGCCTGTGCCGGGAGCTCGCCCATGCGGGAGCCCCGAGGTGCGTCAGGGGCTCCGTGTGGGCGACCTCCTGCCGTTCTGTTCAGGGCCAGCTGGGAGGGTCCCCCACGGCTGAGCCCCTCGCCATCCTGCCCTGCCACCCTACCCTCACCCCCCACTCCCTCCTGGCAGCCCGGCCCCTCTGGCTCCCTGGACAGATGGGCCCCGGGACCCAGCAGGCCCAGCCCCCCTCTTTCCCCCAGAGGCACACTTCCTGGCCGGGCCCGAGGCTCTGGTCTCACCTGCTCTGGCAGCCGCCAGCACCCAAGTCACACCGAGGTTGGGACCTGCCACCCCTGGACGCGGGCACCACGCGGCCTCCATCCTGGGCACAGCCGTCCCCTCTGCCGACCCCCAGGTGCTGGTGAGGCCCGGCCTCTCCGGCACCATCCGCCGCCCCAGACCTGCGCTCACACACACGCAGCCACACGACGGCCTTGTGCGGGGAAACTGCCCGCCACGCCGGAGACGCGGGCCCGGGGCAGCCACGGCTCTGTAAGCCACGCAGCTGGCACAGACACTTCCACGTGCAGGGCGGCCACGGCCACAGCCAGGCCTGGCTCCTGGCCGCACGGAGGGGGGGCAGGGCAGGTGCTGCTGAGGGGCTACAGGCGCAGGGCGCCCCCCTCAGGGCGATCTGGAACCAGTGTCCTCAGCACTGAGGCCGGGACAGAGCGGGGACTCACCCTCACCGAGGGGCCGGGGAGGCCCACCGGCCACGCCCAGCTGGGACCCGCCTCCGGCCGCCTCCTCCCGTGACACCTGCAGGCCCAGCATCGTCCCTGACTGCCCGCTGCCCTGCTCACCGCAGCGCCGCCCCCAGGCCTCCCTGTCCCTGCCCCTGCCCCAGACTCCCACCCTGGAGCCAGGCACCCCCGCCCCGGCTCCCGCCTCCACTCGCTGGCACACACCGCGTCTCCCCACGGGCCCGGGCTCAGTGGGAGCCGGACTGGTGACCAGGGTGTCCTCCAAACGCCTCCTCCCGTCCTCGGCCCCTCCCCTCCCCTCCGGGAGCCGGTCTTGTCCTGCTGGGACGGGCGAGGGGATCAGGCGCAGAGGGAACATGGCCTGGGGTCAGGCGGCGGGCAGCAGAGCTGGCGGGGAGCGGGCTGTCCAGACGTCCTGGCCCCCACGGAGGCCCGGCAGGCGTGTGGGGCGCTCGCCGGGGGTGAGGGCGCCCTGACAGGGGGTAAGGCGAGCACACGGCAACCATGGGCAGCCACGGGCAGCGGACATCCATGTGGAAACCAAGTTCTGGGACCCAGATGCTTGGTGAGCAGCTGAGCCCGTAGGTCCCAGACGTGGACGGCTGTCCTGGGCAGCGACCGTGGACCCACCCAGGGCTGCCTCCCTCCCTGCCTCGGTTTCCCCGTGGAGTCACAGGACCCCGGGAACCAGGCCACTGGGGTGGGGGCTCCCTTTTGTCCCCGTGACTTAAGACCCTCCCCTTCCAGGGAGCCCCTGACACCCCCACCCCCGCCCTCCCTCCACCAGGCCTTGGGGTGGGGGCCTGCCTTCGGCCCTGGCCCTGCCCTGGCAGTGCCCGCGGGGCCCGTCCCCTCTGGGCCGCGGGCACGGGGGGAGGGCAGTGAGCAGACCAGCGGCCAGAGCCTGTGAGCGGCCGCACCTGCAGCTCCGCTCCGCCGGCCGGAGCCGAGGCCCGGCTGCACCACGGCCTTGGTTCCCAGGAGCCGGCTCCGAACTCCGGTCCCCGCCGAGCGCCAGGCGGCCAAGCACCGGTGCCCGTGAGCCGGGTCTGCAGCCAGGACCGCAGGTGCCACCCGGGGCCTTGGAGGACCACTGCTGGGCGGGCTCAGGCCGCTCGCCCCAGGACGGAGGGCAAAGCACTGCCGCTCACTCAGCCCCGCCCCCCGCGCCCGGTGCTGGGCTGAGAGCCACCCCAGCCTCACAGCCGCTACCCACCCCACTCAGGTGTCAGAGCTGCCCCCCCCCCCCCCCCCCCCCCGCCCATCTCAGCCCCCAGCTCCCGGGCGGGGAGGGTCTGCATTCCTGGGCCCAAGAGGGTGTGGGCAGCAGCTTCTGTCCCTGAGGGTCCTCCGGTCCCTCCTCACTGCTCACAGGCCCTGGGCTTCCTCCCTACAGCCGCCCCCTGAGGGCTCCCCACCTGGGCCAGGAGTCCCCAGCCGGCCAGAGCAGGCTCAGCGCTGGGCCCCGCCTCCTCCTGCACCGGCGGGACGCCCCGCGGAGGGCGGGTCCAGAGCTCAGAGGGCCCAACGGGGTCAGCTGGGAGGGTGGGGGGAGTGGAGGGGACGAATGGCACCCCAGGGTTCCTGCCTCCCCCCGCCTCCCCTCCCCCTACTTTGCTCCCCTGTCCCCCAGCTCCCCTGTCCCCCCGGCTCCCCTGTCCCCCCGGCTCCCCTGTCCCCCAGTTCCCCTGTCCCCCGGCTCTCCTGTCCCCCGGCTGCCCTGTCCCCCGGCTGCCCTGTCCCCCAGTTCCCCTGTCCCCTGGCTCTCCTGTCCCCCGGCTCTCCTGTCCCCCGGCTCCCCTGTCCCCCGGCTCTCCTGTCCCCCCCCACCCCCCGCTCCCCTGTCCGCCCCGCTCCCCTGTCCTACCC